TAATCTGCTAAATACGCATCACCTCCCAAGAATTCTATTATTCTATTTTATGTTTTTAAATCTTTTTAAATTGCGTAGGACTTTTTTTTTTTTTTTACATATCAGGCGACTAATGATAATATTCATATATGATATTAAGAAATACTACCCACTGGGGGGGGCAAACATTTGGATATTTGATACACATTTGTTTTGTGATTCATTTTTTTCCCATTATAAAACAGCAAAGTTGAAAATGCTGGTTAAGGAATTTAATAATTCTCAAAGCTGGAGTCCCACCCCCCTCAGTGTATGAGAAAGGAGGCGTGGCTATAAGAAGTTGGATTCCCATGTTAGAACATTTAAACACACTGAACTGAGTGGAACCTGCTTCCGTGGGGAGAATAGAAGTGACACTGCAGAAATCAGCCTGTGCTACTCTACCCCTTTCATAGCTCTACGCTGCCCAGCACCTTGCCGGCAATCCCGCGCAGCCGCACTAGGAAGCTCCGAGCCAACAACCGACTCCGCCGCCTCTTGAAACTCCCGCGCAGGCGCAGTAGTCGTTTGCTACGCCCCGCCTCTCCAGCAGCTGGGCAGGCTAGCAAGCCATGGGCTGCGAAGGTAAAGACAGTATGTACATAATTATCTCCCCACCCAAAGCTTCTGTAGTGGGAGGGAGTCGGGATTTGGGCTGCCTGCTTTGTAAAAGTTGTGGGGAGAGAAGAAAGTGGGGAAGTTTCTACCTTGACCAAGTGCAAAAAAAGAGGTTCCTGTACCTTTAAGAGTTTTTAAGACTGAAATGAGGCTGTATTTTAATGTTTCAATGTTATATTTTACTCTTGTTTTTTAAGCTGTATTTCAATCAATTTTATATTTGGTGTTAGTCGCCCTGAGCCCGGTCTTGGCTGGGAAGGGCAGGGTATAAATAAAATTATTATTTTTTTATTATTATTATTATTATTATGGTGGGAGGTGGACTGCTTGTCTTGCAAGAATGAGAAAAGCTTCGCTTGCAAATATTCTCCCCCTTTAACTCTATTTTGTACCTTTAAGATATATATTTGGGGGCGGGGAGTAGCTTGCCTTGCAAAAATGAGGAAAGCTGCACTTGCAAAAATTATCCCCTTTTAACCCTCTTTTGACTGTTCCTGCCCCATAGGGTTGCAAACTTGAGGGACTGCTCTCCATGAAACTGCTCCTTTCACAGAAACAACAAGCAGGTGGCTGTTTGCTTTCTTTCCCCCCAGGCCAGGTTATCTCGAAGCAGTATAGGATTTTATTTTTATTTTCATCCAGGCCCATTTGATCCTCATAGCAACCCTTCGAGGTAGGTGGGTGGAACTGGCAGCTGGCCCAAGGTCACCCAGAGTGCTTCACGGCAGAGCAGAGAAGCGAAGCTGGTTCTTCCAGGGCTTGGTTCAACACCCTGAACATTGCACAATAGTTATTAGTTCCCATGCCAGGAAAAAAACCTTCAGGCATTGACTTCTGCAGATCAAAATTCCTGGAGAAAGGCAGAGCAGCGGATTTATGCCGTGTTGTCCCCACCCAGAACCAACCAGTTGGAAACTCTGTGTATTCATATTGCATGACAATTTGGTGTTTTTGCTTCAGATGTGCTACAGGCAGTGCTTTTTTTCTTCTTCTAAAAACGTGCTTAGGGGTACTCTCATTTTCCTACTCATATTGAAATACTGCCCCTCAGTGAGGTCAAACTTAGATTCACAAAATGTTTAGGGATGTGCGTACCCCTGAGTCCTCCCAGGAAAAAAAGCACTGGCTACAGGTGTTCCTTAATATATCACGTTGTTGATAATAATATATCCCGCAATACAGAACACTCTGCTCTACTACTTAAAAGAAAAGAAAAAGTGGTCCAATTAAACAAAATAAATCCTAACGTTACCAAAATAAAAAATGCAGTTTTAATCATTTAAATTGCAGGTTTACATACCCTTTTCTTACTGATTTAACTACTCCAGAATAACTTCCACTCTCTTGTTCTCTAGTACTAAAACAGACAAGAACTATTTGCTCTGGAAAGGTTCTGGGGTGGGGTGGAAGGTGACCTTCATCTTTAGATAGTTTATTTCAAGCTCTGTTCTAGTTAGGAGCTCGGGAGAAAGAACCATTCAACCAACATTTGACAATTCTGTAAATATAACACCAGTTAAAACAGCAAAATGCAGTATAAAGCTACTCAGAGAGTGCCTCACCTTAGTCGTAAAAAGCAAGAACGGGTTTGTTCCTTAAGTTGTTTTGCAATGCTTCAGTGAAATGATCCATTTTAGGGCTTGGCTGATTCTCTGGGTATGGGGACTGAGCTAGGCTGCCACCAGCTGTTTTAGGTTAAGTGGGAGCAGATTGTTAACTCCATGGAGCCCAATGGGAATTATGACGAAATAGACATTTATAGGATTGTAAGTGAGTGGACTGTAAAGCCCCTGCTTTTCAATTAGTGCATTAGGTGTCATCAGATAATAAATATGCAGGTAGAAAAATGGGGTGTATAAGGTGTTAGGGGAGAGGGTAGTACCTCGGTTGGAGGGGCACATCATGCTCCTTCTGGGTTAGTTTATCCACCTTTGGTCCCACCCTGCACTCAGCTCTCACCTGTGGCTCCGAGAAGTTGTGATCATTTGACAGCGGCCACAGCCTGGGAACGGCTTCGACTGGCCTGCTAAACCAGACGAGAGGAGCTGAGGGGTCTCAAACCCTCTGTGAATTAGGAACTTCCCCTGCATGCGAAGACAGGCTCAGGCGGATTGAGTGAATGAGACCAATAGTGGGTCCAGTGGTCCAGAAAGAAGTTCTGCCTGTGCTGGAGAGGGGAGTAAGGGGCAGATGGGGCTCGTGTACCTGGGAAGGTAGCCCATCTAGTTGAAGGGAAACTAATCCTAGACCTCCACTGCCTTGTGGGATATCTTCAGGACAGGAGAAGACTAAGGAGTAAACCCTACACAAATCCGGAACAGGGTCCCTAAGACAGTTGGGGGCGCCTTGTATGCCTCCTTCCGGCAACTCCTGCAGCCAAGCTGGTGCCTAATAATAATAATAATAATAATAATAATAATAATAATTTATTTGTACCCCGCCCACCTGGCTGGGTTTCTCCAGCCACTCTGGGCAGCTTCCAACAAAGATTAAAAATACATTAAAATGTCACACATTAAAAACTTCCCTGAACAGGGCTGCTTTCAGATGTCTTTTAAATGTCAGATAGTTGTTTATGTCTTTGACATCTGATGGGAGGGCGTTCTACAGGGCGGGTGCCACTACCAGGAATGCCCTCTGCCTGGTTCCGTGTAGCTTTGCTTCTTGCAGTGAGGGAACCGCCAGAAGGCCCTCGTCGCTGGACCTCAGCATCTGAGCAGAATGATGGGGGTGGAGACGCTCCTTCAGGTATACTGGGCCGAGGCTGTTTAGGGATTTAAAAGTCAACACCAACACTTTGAATTGTGCTCGGAAACGTACTGGGAGCCAATGTAGGTCTTTCAGGACCAGTGTTATGTGGTCTCGGCGGCCGCCCCCAGTCACCAGTCTAGCTGCCGCATTCTGGATTAGTTGTAGTTTCCGGGTCACCTTCAAAGGTAGCCCCACGTAGAGCGCATTGCAGTAGTCCAAGCGGGAGATAACCAGAGCATTCACCACTCTTGAGAGACAGTCTGTGGGCAGGTAGGGTCTCAGCCTGCATACCAGGTGGAGCTGGTAAACAGCTGCCCTGCACACAGAATTGACCTGCGCCTCCATGGACAGCTGTGAGTCCAAAGTGACTCCCAGGCTGCGCACCTTGTCCTTCAGGGGCACAGTTGCCCCATTCAGCTCTGCTTTCCCCTAGACCACATCAGGGAGTCCGAGAAGGGGGTCTTGTTGTCTGGGCATTCCAGGACCTCCACACACACTGCCCAGGCTTGCCCCCCAAGGAGGTCGCTTAGGTGCTTTTAATGCAGCATTTGACTTCACCCCCAGAGGCAACACTTCATTGTCTCTCCAGACAGACGGATGTCAACCAACCGCAAAGCAGGGCCCATCCTTCAAAACAGGGATGGAGATTCTCTGCAGCTGCCCAAATGTTTGTTGTTTAGTCGTTTAGTCGTGTCCGACTCTTCGTGACCCCATGGACCAGAGCACGCCAGGCACTCCTGTCTTCCACTGCCTCCCGCAGTTTGGTCAGACTCATGTTTGTGGCTTCGAGAACACTGTCCAACCATCTCGTCCTCTGTCGTCCCCTTCTCCTTGTGCCCTCCATCTTTCCCAACATCAGGGTCTTTTCCAGGGAATCTTCTCTTCTCGTGAGGTGGCCAAAGTATTGGAGCCTCCAATACTGTTTCAGAGTATTAATGGTGGTTGCATTAGGGCCTGCACAATATATTTTGCAAGCGCAAGCAAGACACCCATTGCATCTGGCTGCTGCGCTGTTACTAGGGGCTTGCGGAAGTGGAAGGGCCGTGGAGTGAGTGGGTTTCTGCAGTTGGCTAGGTAAAGGGACCCCTGACCGTTAGGTCCAGTCGTGGCCGACTCTGGAGTTGCAGCGCTCATCTCGCTTTATTGGCCGAGGGAGTCGGCGTACAGCTTCCGGGTCATGTGGTCAGCATGACTAAGCTGCTCCTGGCGAACCAGAGCAGCGCACGGAAACGCCGTTTACCTTCCCGCCGGAGCGGTACCTATTTATCTACTTGCACTTGGACGTGCTTTCAAACTGCTAGGTGGGCAGGAGCAGGGACCGAGCAATGGGAGCTCCCCCCTTCACGGGGATTCGAACCGCCGACCTTCTGATTGGCAAGTCCTAGGCTCTGTGGTTTAACCCACAGCGCCACCCGCATCCCTCTGCAGTTGGCTAGATGGCCCTTAAAACTGAAGTAAATCAATCAAATCCTCAAGGAGTCGTGTCAAGCAGTTTGCCAGCATCCAAAGAACCAGTAACTGTTCCTAAGTCAGGCTTCATTATGCAGCTAATCTCCGAATGATTGTTCTTCAGGTAGATACCAGCGCGCATGAGTTAAGTGCGTGAACTGAACATGACCAATCCGCTAAGATACGAAGTGCTGAACCTTTACAAAAATGTAAGTCCTGAGGGAGTGGAAGCCAGATGCAAACAAAACGCTTTGCCCGTGTTCTGCGCCCCGAGTGACTCTCAACTTTTTTGTTTTCTTGCATTGTGTGCTTTGAAGCTGCTGTACCTCGGAAAGGAATACCCTAAAGGGGCAGACTACTTTCGGACCCGGCTGAAGGCGGCGTTCTTGAAAAACAAGGACGTGAAGGAGCCCGAGAAAATCAAAGAACTCCTTGCCCGAGGGGAGTTTGTCATGAAAGAGCTGGAGGCGTTATACTTCCTCAGGAAATACCGAGCCCTGAAACAGCGTTACTACGAAGAGGATGGCAAATGATGCGCATTGCGGTTCGAAACGCATGCCCAGGCCATAGGTTAAAGGGGGGGGGGAGATCTACAATTAAAAAAAAGTATAGATTGCCTATTGAACAAAGGTAATGTGTTTTTTTTGTTTTAAGTTGAAGTTCAGCAATGCTTGCTGTGGTTCTTTTTTCGCAGCCGGCTGTGGGGGAGGAACGCAAATCCACATTTGCGGCCGCCGAGACCACATAACACCGGTCTTGAAAGACCTACATTGGCTCCCAGTATGTTTCCGAGCACAATTCAAAGTGTTGGTGTTGACCTTTAAAGCCCTAAACGGCCTCGGCCCGGTATACGTGCAGGAACATCTCCACCCCATCGTTCAGCCCGGACACTGAGGTCCAATGCCGAGGGCCTTCTGGCAGTTCTCTCGCTGCGAGAAGCCAAGTTACAGGGAACCAGGCAGAGGGCCTTCTCGGTAGTGGCACCTGCCCTGTGGAACTCCCTCCCACCAGATGTCAAAAAGAAAAATAACTACCAGACTTTTAGAAGACATCTGAAGGCAGCCCTGTTTAGGGAAGCTTTTAATGTTTAATATGTTATTGTATTTTAGTGTTTTATTGGAAGCCGCCCAGAGTGGCTGGGGAAACCCAGCCAGATGGGCGGGGTATAAATAATAAATTATTATTTTCGGGGAAGTCTTCGCAAATGCAACCCCCAGCTCCACACAGATGTTTCTGCTGTGTGTTCAGATGTCAGGGGGCAAGCAAGGGGCACCAGAGGCAGGGAGCTGTTTAGTGTGCCATTGCTCCCGTGTTGAGGATGCGACCAAAGAGCACCCAAAAAGAGCTTTGCTGTACACATGTCATGGTTTAAGCCTTTTTCCTTTATGCATTTAAAAAGGGAGGTGGGGAGACTATTCCCCTGTGCTAGTGACATTCATTTCACCTGGAATAGCAGAGTTAGTAGAGCACGAGACTCTTAATCTCAGGGCCGTGGGTTTGAACCCAACATTGGGCAAAAGATTCCTGAATTTCAGGGGGTTGGACTAGATGACCCTCAAGGTCCCTTCCAACGCTACAGTTCTACGATTCTAATTTCTACAACCACTGCTCTTGCAGTTGGATGTTTAGCTGGACATACAGCTATGCTGAGGGACCCCTGCGCCTTTCCTCTCCCCCCAAAGAACTGAAAAGGTCTGCTACCATCTTGGGAAGGTGGGCAAGAATGAGAGATTAGCCTGTTCAGTGGGGAGAGGAGTGGCTGGGATTTAGTTACCCAACACAGTCTATTGCACGCCTACTCAGAAGCCGGTACAGTTGAAATCAGGTATGCATAAGGAGCTTGGGAAGAGGGTGGGAACAGGTACGGCTGGCTGTGTGTTATGTTAAAAAGAATCCCGTATCCTGGGCGAAGCAAAGCTGGGTTTTACACCTAAGTCTTATTTGCCTGTGTTTTCAACTTTTAAGCTCACAAAGAGGAAGTACGGCCTTTTAAATGCCAAAGGTGCAGAACCTACACCCTTCTAGGTGAACCACAATTCCCATCATCCCTGAACACAGCCCAGGTTGGCTGTGGCTGATGGAGGCTGGAGTCAGGCAACAGGTTGTCCACCACTTCTGTAAACAGCTACTATAGGGTATGATCTAAAGGGCCGCCTCTTTCCATATGAACCTACCCAGACCCTGAGATCATCTTCTGAGGCCCTTTTTCGTGTGCCTCCTCAAGAGGTCCAGAGGGTGGCAACACGAGAACGGGGCCTTCTCTGCAGTGGCTCCCCGTCTGTGGAATGCTCTCCCCAAGGAGGCTCGCCTGGCGCCTTCAATATTCACCTTTAGGTGCCAGGCAAAAATGTTTCTTTTTCACCAGGCCATGAGCAGATTAACAGTCTTACGTCCTTTTAAATGTTTGCAGGAGTGGGGGGTGCTTGTGTTGTTTTGCTTTTGGTCTTGTTTTTCACTTTGTGGTTTTACTGTGAGGACTTTGGACAGAAGGTGATACACAAATTTAATAAATAATATTGGCACATGAGGTCACCCCCTGCTGAAGCGAAGCAAGTCTGGGTTTGGGAAGTGTCTGGGTGTGTAACCCACATGCCTTCCGTTCTATGATGGAAGAGGATCAGGACATAAATAAATTCTGCTTTTGAGAGGAAAAAACGAACTGTAGAAACACAGACTTTTTTATTTATTAATTACAACAGGAGCAGTGTTGTTTTGTGACAAACTTGACAGATTTCATATCGCTTCACAGCACATGCTGCTGATAAAAACATCTGTAAGGGTTTAAATGAACAGTGGTCATTCTTCAGGTGTGACTTAATGTTTCGAGGTCACAGGATTGAAATAAAGAAGGGGGGTTCTCCCCCCCCAAAAAAAATGTCCATCACCTGGGTCACATTGCATATATTTTGCCTCAAATGAAAACAAAAAGCACAATGTACAAAACATGTATTTTTCTTAATTTTTTTTAGTTTATACTATACAAAAATAGTTAAAATACATTCTAGGTAAACACATTGCATTTTAAGAAATAGTCCTAGTAGGAGATTTGGCACTCGAGAGAGAGAGAGAGAGACGAAGGATGGGAAGGAGGCTTATTTTCAACATAAAACACAACAATGGAATTAAATTAAATTGTTAGGCAGGTTTGGGAAAACTGTACAGCCTAAAGGGCACAGCCCACCAAGTTACTGCTGACATCATCTTCCAAAAGACAAAACAAAATGCTACTCTTGGCACCTCAACGCTTTTGTGAAATTCCCCCCTGTGTATATTCTATATGCACACACTTGATCTTAGCCAAAAGGCAGAGATGGCTCATTTCAACAAATCAATCCAATTTGAATTTTTTTTCCTCTTTTTTTTTTTTTTTAACATTTTCACTTTTAATAGAAAAAATAGTTAGATTTTTAAGCGTGACCCACGGCAAACAGCCTTAGGGAAGTGAGGTTGGGAGGGGTGGGGAAAAGAAACTTGCTTCCGTGAAAAGCCCGCAATCCTTACATTCATTCAAGTTGATTGGAAACGCTACAATAAACGGTGGCCCAAAGCAGAAATTATACATAAGGAAGGCTAAGGAGGTGTTTATCAATATTGCAGTCAGCAGAACCAAAACCGTTTTGCAAAAAAAGTGCGCTGGAAAACCAGGATCACTTGCGCCGATCAGTCCTTTTATCACAAACACAGCAGAAAATAAGTTGGGAGATCTCCCCGCCCTATGTAAAAGGCAACAGGAGGTTGATGGGCATTCGAGTCCAGCAACACCTGGGAGGCTGCAGGTTAAACCACTTCTGTTTTCTAACAAAGACCCAGGACCAGCTTCAGGGAAGGGGCTCCCATCACCTACACCTACACCCCAGCAACCGCAAGAGTCAGATGATGCTGGACTACAACTCCTATCATGCTGGCTGGAACTGGTCAGGGATGATGGGTTTCGGAGTCCAACAACATCTGAAGGGTACAATGTTGGCTACTCCTGGGTCCGTTGCCAACTCAGCCGGCTCTGGCATCCCACATCTGAAAGGGGCTTCTTCTCCTACCCCTTTCCTACAAGAACCATCTCTTACCTAAATGTTGGGTCCCGAGGAGCTCTTGATCCTTGCACCCCTAACACGGTACATTGGTCCACGCATAGGTGGAAGGTTTCCCAGCTCCCCTCTCGTGACAACTTGAGGTCCATTTTCCTTGCCTGCAACAGGCCTCCCGTGGTCATAAAAACCAACTTGCTTCTGCTCAACTCTCTGTATAGTGCAGAGCCCCTGATCCCACCATGTCGTGGTCCTCGCCTGCTCAGGAACGCCCTGTTCCTGTAAATCACCTGGGTCTAAAGTGCTGCGCTTCAACAGGAACTCAAAACGTTACACAGGGCTTCTGTGGCTCAACCGCTGCTGCCGGCCCTCTCAGCCCTCACCATGCTCTAGATACCATATTTTTTGCTCTATAAGACTTACTTTTCCCCTCCTAAAAAGTAAGGGGAAATGTGTGTGCGTCTTATGGGGTGAATGCAGGCTGCGCAGTTATCCCAGAAGCCAGAAGAGCAAGAGGGATTGCTGCTTTCAATGCGCAGCGATCCCTCTTGCTGTTCTGGCTTCTGAGATTCAGAATATTTTTTTTTCTTGTTTTCCTCCTCCAAAAACTAGGTGCGTCTTGTGGTCTGGTGCGTCTTATAGAGCAAAAAATACGGCAATTCAAATGAGATACCTGTTCCTCCTTCTCCTCCAACCTATGTCGAAGGAGGAGATCCATGGGATATAACAGGGAAGGGAGTGCCACCATAAGTATCACGTCTTCTCATTCACCTCTCCTGCTCTTGGATGAAGGGACTCCCACCCCAACCCCGGGAAACAATTGCCCCAAGCAGAGGCAGTTCTACCAGTAAGGCAGTTCCTGCAAAAACAACAGCAGCAGCAGCCAGTCACAACTTCCTAAGAAAAGAAAGGAGGAGTAGGTGGGGGAATCAGAAGACATTAGCAAGTTTCGCATGCACCCAAATGCCACCAAATAAAATGTTCTCTGTTGTTCTTGATTGATCACAGGCATTGCTAGGTTCAAGAACCGAAACTCCAGGAATACTGGCACTTTAGGAATACTTTCCACTGTCACGTAAAAGCAAGCATCCAGAAAAGGCATCCGATGGGTCCACAAAGCAGGGAGAGAGGGAAGGTGTGTGTTTTAAAGTAATGCTAGAAACATGTGTGCTAATAATTTAGTGTAATGGTACAAAAATGAATCACGTTTACCGACGTACACCTTAAGGACGAAGGGTTAAGTTGCATTTACATAATTATACACTTTGTCTTTGACTTCTTTTTCTTCTTTTTGCCGTCTTTGCTCATCTTCTCTTTGTGTTTTCGGATTTCCCGGACTAATGTGTAGAAGGCATCGTCAACGCCCTGCAAAGAAATGTCAGACCTTTTAATACCAAATGACGCCTTTTCACTTGAATTGCACGGGGTTTCGTTTAGCTAATGAAAATGCTATGAGCAATTTCAATAAGGCAGTCATCTTTTTAATAGTCATGAGAAATTGAACAATCGTTGGTAGTTGTGCACTTTTTTCATGTTTTCTGAAGAGCTATTACAGATAGTGGCCTAGGTGTGGTTCTTGCTCAAAGGACTTGCTCCTCTTTGAGGATTCAATTAGCCAATATATCCCTTCTCACTCAGAACTAAGAAGTTTGAAGCATGTTTTCCAATTTTTGCAACTTTTAAGGATCTGTGTCTCTTGCTGTCCATATTTTCTACCTAATTTGGGACAAAATAATTAAAAGAGTTCTATGATGTATCCAGGGATGCGGGTGGCGCTGTGGGTTAAACCACAGAGCCTAGGACTTGCCGATCAGAAGGTCGGCGGTTCGAATCCCCGCCAAGGGGTGAGCTCCTGTTGCTCCGTCCCAGCTCCTGTCAACCTGGCAGTTCAAAAGCACGTCAAAGTGCAAGTAGATAAATAGGTACCGCTCCGGCGAGAAGGTAAATGGCGTTTCCGTGCGCTGCTCTGGTTCGCCAGAAGCGGCTTAGTCATGCTGGCCACATGACCTGGAAGCTGTACACAGGCTCCCTTGGCCAATAAAGCAAGATGAGCGCCGCAACCCCAGAGTCGGTCATGACTGGACCTAATGATCAGGGGCCCCTTTACCTTTACCTTATGAAGTATCTAAATAATAAGTGAGAACATCACTCACACAAACTGCTACGTAGCTGGGACAAAATGTGCGTAATATGCATTTAAGAGTATTGTTTTCCCAGTTCTGTCTAACAAAATCATTATTTTGTATTTTTCTTATAGTATTTTATGTGCCCTGCTATTTGTATATATTGTTGTACACCACATAGATAGTTGGTATGAATTGACAGCCTAAAACTATTTTTGTAAATAAAATAAATAGAAAGAAAACAAAACAGTTTCATCTCAAGAGTTTTGTCTTGTCTGTGTATTTTACATCAGGTTTCCCCTCTCTTTTCCTAGGTACCTGATGCTCTCAACTGAAGTAATATTTGAAGCAAAACATTACCACTGGGTGTATATTATCGTACTATCAAAGATGGGTGCCACTGTACTGGATTGTTTAATCCAAGATGGCGGGAGACCATTGCGTCCGTAAATGTAGTCTACTGGTGTGTGCAGAGATCATACTGCAGGCAGTTCAAATATCCACAAGGCAAAATCACTGGCAAAACACTGGTCTCAGGTCTTTTAGAGGCAAAAATCACTTTTTTAAAAAAAATACTGAAACAAATACTGTAATCAAAGCAGCAATTCACTGCTGTTGGAAACATTACGGGAGGTCTGTATTTGAACTAAAAAGAAAGTTGTACAGCTGGAAATGACCCGAAGTACTAATTTTTGACAGTGAAATTGGGTCTTTTATACCCAGAGAAATCCTACTAGTCCCATTGCACCCACATTATTATTATTATTATTCTATTCATCCAAAAGTCATAAGTACAAAGCAAGCAAGACCAAGAACATGTCTGCAAGACAGAGAACATGTTAAAAATAACACCAATGGAAGAAGCAAGCACACAAAGGAAGACTAAAGTTTTTCTTTGAAAAGGGAAACATACCTCAATTTAAGTCTCATCAGTCCATTCATTCTGCTGACATGTCAAACTGATTATGCCAGCAAGACCTCTCTATCATTCCCATGACATCATCTCATGTAAGGAAGCTCATCCTGTTCCTCACATGTTACATTTCTGATGCTTCAACAGGGCATCATTTAAGGGCAGGAAACACTTTTTCACCGTCACATCAAATCTGCTCTCAGGCTAGCCAATCAGAAACCATCACCCAATGAAGTATCCCGCTCTGTTTGCATCAGAGAACGGGAACATGCTTACATCAAGTTTGGTTTCGTATACGTCTTCTTCCTCATAAACAGTTCTATATTAACCATCTCATCTCAGGAGATTGGCTAACTTGAGCCAACCTAGTTATACCATCTGATGGCAGCTCTGTTATATTGGACCGTCCCCAAAGTCCTCGTTTGTCACAGTCTTCAGTTTCAGTGTCATAGCTGTCAACGTTTCCTTTTTTAAAGGGAAATTCCCTTATTCTGAAGAGGATTCCTCGCAAGAAAAGGGAAAAGTTGACAGTATGTTCATGGTTGACCAGCGGTCCAGAACGCAAAGTGGGGTCCCGCTGCCTTCCTGAGTGAGGTTGTCAATGCTCACTTTTCCAGTGTCCCAACTGTGGAAGGATGTGTGGATCCAGAACTGGCCTCCACAGTCACTTCAGGACTCATTGTTAAAACCGTGTTTATGGAAGACAATCTTACTCGGCTACGAGTGATCGCCAAAGAAAAAGAAGAGCTCACCTTTCCAGGTAATAATGCCCCATTCAACATATCACAAAGACCACGCCTGTCTTCCTTGCATCTTATTAGCAGTTCATGGAGCGAGACCCTATGAAAGTTTACCTTCTGAGCAACGTTTGGGGGCGGGGCACACACCCGTGGCGGGAGAGACCATAGGCAGAAGTGGGCACAGCAAGAAATGTCAATTTCCCCTTTGTACACTAGTTTCTTAGGACGCGGGTGGCGCTGTGGGTTAAACCACAGACCCTAGAACTTGCCGATCAGAAGGTCGGCGGTTCGAATCCCCGCCAAGGGGTGAGCTCCCATTGCTCGGTCCCTGCTCCTGCCAACCTAGCAGTTCGAAAGCACGTCAATATGCAAGTAGATAAATAGGTACCGCTCCGGCGGGAAGGTAAATGGCGTTTCCGTGCGCTGCTCTGGTTCGCCAGAAGCGGCTTAGTCATGCTGGCCACATGACCCGGAAGCTGTACGCCGGCTCCCTCGGCCAATAACGCGAGATGAGCGCCGCAACCCCAGAGTCGGCCACAACTGGACCTAATGGTCAGGGGTCCCTTTACCTTTACCTTACACTAGTTTCTACACACACACCTCCTAGTAAACAAGAGCTCATCATCGGAGATTAAGGATACATCCCACCAGGCAAAACCACTCAAGGTGTGAAGCAAGGCTAGTTGAAATCCCCTTCTACTGTGTTCAGGAGAGGGGCACAACCTCCCGGGAGAACACTGCATGCGTAAGTGCGCTGGATTCGTTAGCAGAACTAATCAGCGAATATTCCTAAGTCTGAGCGGGTAAGCATGTGTTATCTGTTTTCGAGGGACAGAAGTCAAAAGTTGAGCGGTTTGTTCTTTGAACCCTGGATCGTATAAGTTGACCTTTGCCAGAATCACGGCAGGCGCGTGGGCTTTGGCCCACAATTCTAAAGAAAGCAGCCGTTAACCGAGGCAACTGCGTACGGCTCGGCTTGTTCCGTTCTGCTAAGGGAAGAGAATGAGAGAAGGGCCTTTGGGGCCACGCAGAAATAGAAGGCATGGAGGCTGCTCACCCCGATATGGCTGAGAGCAAAATCAAGTGTTGAAAATTCAAGGGGCAAGGAGTTTGAAGCCTTCTGTGAATTGGCTCCAAACAAAGTCTGTTTCTAAATTTCCTGGCCCACCAGAAAGGGGTTTCCAAAAGAGAAAGGCACATTCTCAGTGCACCGTACAAGTTCATCCACAGCTGAAACCACAGAGAAAAACCGTTATATTCTTAAAGGAGAGTGGCGACAGTAAAACAGATTGGCTGATACTTACAATCATTTTGAAATTACTGGAATCACCAAAGAGAAGTTTGCAAGTTAGATTTGATTCGTATTGGTGATCAGATTTTTTTCCCCCGCCGAACTTTTTTTTTTTCCTTTTAAACAAGAACAAAACTTACCCTGTCACATTAAAAGGCATTTTTTAATTTTCACGCACCCAGGAGTCTTTTCTTCTGTGCTGATTTTTCTCAATCTGTACTGGCGGATCTCTCGCACCAATGTATAAAATGCATCCTCCACTCTCTGCATTGTAAAACACAACTCCTTTAAAGCCAGCTTTGGTTAACCGGGATGAAGAGGGTGGGGGCCCAGTCGTCAGAGGAAAACTGGAAATTAGCAGCTAAACTCCTAAGAAAAGCAGCGTGGGAGCTGGGGGCAAGATACCTAGCTGCATGTGGGGAAAATGCTTTAGGTACAATTCCATATTCATTACTGTTGATATAAAAATATACCAGTCCTTAAGGGTCTAGATCAGGGTTTCCCAAACTTGGGTCTCCAGCTGTTTTGGGACTACAACTCCCATCATCCCTGACTTGCTAGGGATGATGGGAGTTGTAGTCCAAAACCAGCTGGAGACCCAAGTTTGGGAAACCCTGATCTAGACTAAGGGTGGCTACCCTGTGGCCTTCCAGATGTTGATGGTCTTCAACTCCCAGCAACCTCAGCAAATCTGGCCAATGGTCAAGGATGATGGGACTCCCAACAATGTCACAGGTTAGTCACCCCTAACAGACCCTTTATTCGTCACGTTCACACCTGTTTAGATGATAACACACTCGATTTCCTAAGATTTAGAGCTTCGCTTGTGTCCAGCATTTGGGGGAAATGGCAACAGAGCCTCCATTCTCAAAAGCACATTAGGAGCTGGATTTTTAAAATTTCTTCCCTTCAGGAAACCCTTTCAATGTGACGTCATCTGCCAAGGAACCGGAGTCCTTTGCCAAAGATTCTGGGGCAGGGGTTTGAAGAACCACTTTGAGCCCGACGGCTAGATTCAAACTTCACCAGCCTTCTGGAGACAAAAAACCTGGTGATAGGCGAGGCCAAAAGGGGGGAAAGAAACACTACATATTTTCCACATACATTTTACACTGTTTGTAATGCTGTTTTCCCATTCGATTCCCTTGTAGGGAGATTGAGGTGCATAAAATGTAAGGGAAATACATACTGCCTTTAAAGATGAACCTATGACAAATGACATCGCATGACTGGAAGTTTGCTTAAGCTGCACTCGCGAGTCGTTTGGATGGAAGGGGTTGGTGGGCCAAATTAAGTCAAATAAGGGCAATCACAAACAGTTAATCCAAGACACTGGCCAGGCTTGTTAGGCCTCACCCTGGCAATGTTTTGAATGCAGTGTGTGCACCCAGGAATGAATTCAGCACTGCCCTATGGCTGCGCATTGCAGAGGGAAAGATCAGTATCAAGAATGTTTGTCTGCTGCACCAAACAGCGAGGAACAACTGAGGCTCCCCAGAAAACCATCTGCGAGGTTCTGAGCTAAACAGTCACATCCCCATCTTGCAATAAGAGAAAGAAGAAGAAAAGCACAGGAAATTTTCCATAAGTACAAGCGCACCCATCCGATCCAAGTGTTTTGATTGCCACAATTATTCGAGATGCTATTTCATTCACTTCCCGAAAGGGCCCAATACCTGGGAAGGTCTCCTCCCCAAAACCCCTGGGGCGGGAGAATGCGGGGACGGTGGACAACAACTTCCACTGACTGTGTATCCACCCCCCGCCCAGCTCATTTCAATGGAGGTCCCTCAGGAACCATTTCAAGGCAATTGGGCCCACCGCCTCCATCCCGATCACCGAGAGCAGGAGTTGCGATTTTGTTTCAGCAATGCAGACAAGATGGAGAAAGAGATCAACACCAAAGAAGGCAAAAGATTGACTAGAGAGGAGCCCATTCTGGGCAAAGCATTTCACCACAAAAAGAAGAAGCAGGGCTTGGGGAAAAGGGTTTTTAAAGAGCCAGCCACACAGGGGAAGCATTTGACTAAGTTGTTGAAACTTTGCCTGTCTCCCACAGGAAACACGGAAGTGGCAGTTTTGCTACAGGCGAGCATTGCAACATAGGAGAGGTTTTTCACACGGAAACACATACACAAAGGCATGCATGTGCTTCCCGACAACTTTATGGAGACTAGAAAGGGGGTACCACAAGAGGAAGGGGCTTCCTCTAGAACAGCTGGGTTTGCTCATCGGTGGCCCTCAGGATGCTGCTGCTGCTGCTGCTCTGCAACTCCCGTCACCATTGACAGGACTAGCTGTGCTGGTAGGAGTTGATCAGAGCTTGAGTCCAAAGAAAAAGGCTGCAGCATTTGCCACTGGAACAGAGGAAAACGCTTCATGCTGAATCAGGTCTATTGAGCTCTCAGTGTTGTCTGCACTGACTGGCAGCTGCTCTCCAGGGTTTCAGACAGAGGTCTCTCCCAGTCCTACCTGGAGATGCTGGGGATTGAACCTGGGACCAGTGATCAAAATTAGCCAGGTGCCAGGCGCATTTTGCACCTGGCTACCGGCCACTTGCGACCAAGTGAAATGCCAGGGCACCAAGATGGCACCTGACATCTCCTCCACCTGGAGGTTCACGCCTGGGGATCCTAGGATCTGGGCTCTTTTCACACACTAATACCCCATCCTGTAGAATTCTATCGGTTATATTTTATCTGCACAATCGGGATGGATTTCAGGAACCCAAACGCTTTGCTGTAGCTTGTCTTCACTTACCCCACCCCACTGCCCTGCTCACAGTTGTGAAGAATATTCTTACATTATGAACAGTCCGTGTGTCACCATTAAGAAAAATAGTAAGTGCTCAGAGTTCTTAACCGAGCTGAAGGTGGTCATCTGAACTAGCCAGATCTTTAACTGAGAATCAATCACAGTCAGCCCATCATATGAAAAATAAGATTTTAGAGCAGTCTTGTCCAAAAATGGCGACTAGACATTCCGTTTTGGCAACTGCAACCTTGATTTAAAGAGCCATTTGGTGCCTAGCTTATACAGTGGTACCTCCGGTTAAGTACTTAATTCGTTCCGGAGGTCCATTCTTAACCTGAAACTGTTCTTAACCTGAAGCACCACCTTAGCTAATGGGGCCTCCTGCTGCTGCCGCGCCGCCGGAGCACAATTTCTGTTCTTATCCTGAAGCAAAGTTCTTAACCTGAAGCACTATTTCTGGGTTGGCGGGGTCTGTAACCTGAAGCGTATGTAACCTGAAGCGTATGTAACCCGAGCTACCACTGTATATCTAACACTGCCTGGGACTGCCTGCATGTTCTAACAGATTCTCTGAGCTATATCGCTCCTCCATCTTTCCTACAGCCATGCCCCTGCAGTCCCAGATCCAGCACAAACTCCTCTTCGCAGCTTCCTGTGGCCTCATTCTGCAGCCATATTTTTCCCTTCTCGATCTGCTCCCACAGCCAGATATTTTGTGTTTGTGGCTTTTTACTCCTCCAGCTCCATCACCCTCAGCCACCCAAAAGTGTCCTGATCCCTTGAGTGTCCTGTCCCTTTCTCTCTTGCCACCCCCCAAAAAACACCTTTCCCATGCCTTTCTCTCTTACATCAAATCCCTCCTCAGCACACGCAAAGAGCAGTAAGCCACAATTTTTTAAAAAAGCAACCATGCTACTGAAGAAAGGGTAAATAAGGAGCCATAGCTCAGGGTGACGTTACCCATCTCTGCTCTACTGGAAAACTATATTCCCACCCACCCCACAAACAAAAAATCTACCAGATCCCTCAAACGAAGACTAGTTTTCAAAGGAAGAAAAAAAGAAATTGTCACCGTAATTTCCCATTCTCTCCACACGAGGGGGAACCACACAGTGAAGCTCATCCCAGCTGCATACATAACCATACATTTAAAGCAAACTGTTTCACCCAAAGAATTCTGGGAACTGCCTGTCACAGAGCCACAACTCCCAGAACTCACAATGAATTACTGTTTCTAATGGAACCCCCAGATGCAGTTAAAAGTTAGGGGATTTATGCCCCAAAAGTATGGGGCTAGAGGGGGTGCAGAACCTCACGGCCTGCACTTTATTGCTTAGCTACAGAAAAGCTGGCAGGGGGAGCCTGTTATGTGTGTCAGAGCACATTAGACATTTGTTATAGTTACAGTCATTTGACTAGTCATGTGCGGATGCCTGATTGTCATCTTTCAAAGCAACTACTCTATTCCGAACTTAAAAATGGAAAGCGTAATGCTGGTGGGTCAACAAAAGAGGTTTAAAGACTCTCTCAAGGCAAACCTAAAAAATTGTGGTATAAACACTGACAACTGGGGAACACTGGCCTGCAAGCGCTCCAATTGGAGAACAGCCGTTACCAAAGGTGTCATGGACTTTGAAGACGCTTGAACTCAGGACGAAAGGAGAAACGTGCTAAGAGGAAGGCACACTTGGCAGACCCTCAGCATGATCAACTCCTGCCCGGAAAACTATGTCCCCACTGTGGAAGGACGTGTGGATCCAGAACTGGCCTCCACAGTCACCTATGGACACATTGTTAGAACCATGTTTATGGAAGACAATCTTACTCGGCTACGAGTGATCGCCAAAGAAGAAGAGACGTTTGTTATAGCCAGCCATGTAACTGAAATGGCTAGTTTGTTTTTTTAGAACAGATTGGAAAAATTCAGGAATAGTGTTATCAGTGTGCTTATGGCAGCATTCTCAGCATGTGATACGTCCTCTTGAGAGTATTTCTAAATGCTAGAAAGTGGGAGAGATGATGGGTAAATGGCTAGATTTTTTGGAAAGCACCACTGGAGATGGGGATACTAGGTTCCTTGGGTTTTTACTCCAACCCAGTTATTAGCCTGCCCCTTACCACTAAGTGTACCACACATTCGGGATGGGATAAAATACCTTTCAATGGGTACAGAAACTAGTTTATAGCATAGGTCCTGAGCCATATGTGCTGGAACTCCTATTTGGGGACTTCCCTGTCTTTTTCTGGCCCATGTAGGACCAGTCTGGATAGTTAGCCTTGGTGAAGACTTGACATTTTTATCCCCAAAAAAGTTTTTGATTGAGTTTCCATTGAAATGAGGCTGCATTTTAATTTTAACGATTTAATGTTGTATTTTAATCTTTGTTTTAAGCTGTATTTCAATCAATTGTTTTATATTTGGCGTTAGCTGCCCTGAGCCCGGTCTTGGCTGGGGAGGGCGGGGTATAAATAAAAGTTGTTGTTATTATTGTTGTTGTTATCATCAGAGCAGAATAATTCACGCCACACATTTAAAGAAATTTTATACCATTCTAGCAGTCATGGCTTGCTCCAAAGCATCTGGCGAACTATAGTCTGCCCCTCACAGGGTTACAATCCCCTGCACACATTACAAACCACAGTTCCCAGGATTCTTTGTGGAACACAGTGTGCTTGAAATGGACGCTGGGGATGTGATCTTAGGACCACTGCGGAAAACTTTGTGGTGGCTCGTAGTTGCCCCCTGCCGACCACAGAAGGAGAGGGTGGGCACAAGGCAGGCTTCAGTGTTGGCGAGTGCCCATCAGGGCCATGGAAGGTATCCAAGGATGCCAGGTAAATATGTTTAGTCCCAAACAGCAAAAGCAACTTCACCTATTTAGAACCGGGTCAACCAACTATGATTTGGGGTATAATACATTGATGCAGCTCTTTAAAAAGGCCTGAAGGAAATGAATCAAGGGTGAAGTGGAAATCACAGGCTCTTAGAAGAGCAAAGCAAGTGGATTGTAATGCTGAGCAAAATCAACGGAACTTTTTTTTTTAAAAAAAAAAAGCAAGCAGAGATTTAAGCCCAGCAACTTCGCAACGATTAGGGGGAAAAAAAAACCAGATGATGCACACAGGCTAGGTAACCATAGCCATACGAAATATATCCAGGGCTGTATTCTGCACTGCCAACAGGACTCAAAAGCTATGCGCGCAAAGGAAGGAGGTGCACAGGTCAAATTTTAGATTGTAAGCTCCTTGAGGCAGTGACCTGTGCTCTCGTTTTTCTGCAGGCAGTCATGTGCACACCCATAGCACTATAATTTGCTTTCAAAAGTATACTCAGGTATGAGTTTTATTTACCAAAGCCCAGGGGAAAGAAGGCAACCCAAAGATGTCCCTTTGGGTCTCTTCCGATTCTGCAATTATTTGATGCTAAGAGGAGAAGGCAAGAAGTATAGAAGGGGCTTCCTGAGCTGGAGCCTCGTGCGTTCTCCTGTGCAAGTGGGGCTCCTGGGCAAAGGGAAGATGCCCTCAACCATCCCACGGCAACATCCTTCATCTTTCCCCACTAAAGGAAGGAGGATAACACTTGGGAGGCAGGAGAATTGTCTGCACACATCTGGCAGAAGTCAGAGCAGATACTGCTATCCTCCTCTCCTCCCTCCCCTGCTTTTTACAGGTGTTTTCTCTCGCAAGCAGCAGCATCTAAAGTGACACACTGCATGCCAAGCTGGAACCAAGTGGATGCAGAGGGAAGGAGGGACTTGCTATGTGAAGAAATCCAGCCAGGTTCTTCTCTGGATCACGAGCATGCAGCTGCGTGAGTCATAGAAGCCCCTGTTCCATTCAGTAAAAACACAGCCCGTGGGTTTCCTTTTCAAGCCGTTTCCTAAAAAACCATGAGGCCTAGATGCTGCCTGTTCTCGCGCTTCCAGTTCTGTACTTGCAGGGCGAATTTTGCATTTTGTGCAGTGTGTACACACAGCCTTGGACACATTCCAAACATACAGCGGATTTCTGAACATTTATTTTCGGTGAAAAGGAATACAGGGGGAAAGGGATTTCTGCATTAAGGACAGGCAATTACTGAGTTGAGAGGATGTGAAAACCATTTAAAAATGGACGCAAAGCAGCGTTTGCTACTATTCTCTAGTCCTTATTTCGATTTTTACCTTCGATACCTTATGAACATTAAGAGATCCCACACAGGCAGTTTGCAATTCCAGTATTACTCAGCATGTTCTTATGCGTGTTCAGGGAAACTGTTAATCGGGGCACTTACTGTCCCCCGACAATCCACTGTCTGCGCAGCTGGAGAGAAACGTTCAGATAACTCTTGCCGTTATGAAAATGACTAAAAATAACTCAGACAAGGCTTCAGCTGCAACATCCTGCCACTTAGAATGCACCAGATGTTCCTACGAATTCACGCCAGACAAATTAATTCAGCATCTTAAAGGGATCGCAAGGGTTGCAGAGTCAGACCTCTGAACCCAATGCCTTTCCGAATTTGAAGACAAGGCTACCAGGCAAGTGCTGCTCTGGGGCTTATTTAGTGCAGTAAAAGAAGGATTTATGCTTCGAGAAGTCGAACTGCATGCTTGTATATGGATTCTTGCCCTGGATTCTCTTCTTGGCCTCGGGATTCAGGTGATGTGTGTCTGAGGTGGTAAAATCCAGACACACGTCTATCTCCCATAAGGAATCTGTGCAAGGTTCACCACTACCATCCTGGGTAACATTCAGGATGGTTTTTTCTTTCTTTATTTTTTTAAAGTGGAAGCCACATACAACACACACAGAGATTTTGAAATTTTAATTTTGAAGCAGCAGCATACCACTTTAGCCAGTCATGGATTCCCCCAGAGACTCTTGGGAACTGTAGTTTTCACGTCACAGAGCTACAGTTCCTTGCACCAGAAAAAAACTACAGTTTCCCAGGATTCTCTGGGGGAATCTGGCTAAAGTGGTGCGATACTGCTTTAAGCGTAGGCTGCAGGTGGGACCTCAGATATACAAACTGCCTCTCGAGAGTCAAATAAAATGGAACGTGACTCTGCCTGCTTTCTTGAATCTCAGCTATCTTGGGGAGAGACCATATTGAGAGAGAGAGATGCAGGATCTCTCAAGAACATGGATTCACAGGTACTAGGAATCCTACTCTTTATTCGAACAGAAAACTCTGTTCTAAACCTCAACAGGAGACGGTTGTTCTTACACACAAGACAACACACACACACAATGTTACCTGTCTCGTTTTCGCAGAGGTTTCGATGAAAGGAATTCCATAACTTCTAGCTAAGTCCTGAGCTTGTTTTGTGTCTACGGTTCTCGAAGGCAAGTCGCATTTGTTTCCTACTAGCACCATGGGGACATCTTCAGAATCTTTGACTCTTTTTATTTGTTCCCTGTGGAGGGGCGGGGTGGGGGAATAAGAGAAGAGCGAGAGACCACTTTAGAGCAAAGTAATATTTGTGGAATTGCCACGGTTACGTCTTTGAAGGAAGAGGTTTTAAAAAGAAAAAGAAGCAAGTTATTTAAATCATCTGTTTTGTTTACTACCAAGGTTTTCATCTGCATTCAGCCCATCTCCAGGGCTCACTGATTTATTTTATTTTATTTTTACACTGCTAACTCACATACAAAATCATCCACAAAGGGTTACACACAGCAAATATAAAATGTCAAGTTTACACGAGAAAATATTTAAGTGCAGAAAATGCCAGAAGTAACTCCCTGGTCATAACATTCATCCAAGTACAAAGGCCTGTCGTCTGAAAGCAGGCTTCAAAAGATACCAAAAAATATAGAAGGATGCTTCGTGGGTTTCCATCGGCAGGACGTTCCACGTTGCTGGACTGTCCACACTAAACGCTATATTTCTCATAGCTACCAAGCAGCCTTATTTACACAGGGGGCAGTAAACAGCATTCGCCCAACAGAACTTGGTGATCGAGCAGAGATTGTAGTATCGTAGAGTTGGAAGGGACCCCGAGGGTCGTTTAGTGTAATTATTATTTATTTATTGAATTTCTATACTTCAAATAAAGATAAAATAAAAATATAAAACCACAATGTACATAATAAAAATAAGAACAACAACCACCCAATAAACACCCCCCACACACACACCCCAAACCCCCACATTTTAAAAGGGCTTAAGATGTTAAGGGCTCAGGAAGCAAGAAGAGAAGGCACGCAGTGGTGCGACGCGCCTCAGCGGCGGAGAACATGTTTTGCGCATGCCGAAAACGTCCGGCATGTGCAATTCAAAGCTCAGGGAGCAATGCCAGTCTTACAACATGTGTGGAGAGCAAAGCACACAAATTGGGAAGGGCTCTCTCTTGTTCCTGTGGGGAGGCCACGTCACAAGCCCGACGCATGTGGACTTGTGGCCCAAACTTTCATTTCGCAACGCTTGATCGTAATAAAATCTCTAGGCGGTTGTTGACAATGTATTTGTTCATCTATCGTCACGTTTACAGGCCGCCCTTCTTGCAAAGCGTCCAAGGCAAGAGAGCATGGCTCTCCCCCACCCCCACCCCCACCCCCGCGCGGGCTCCGCCGAGAGACTGCGACTGACCCAGGGGAGAACTGAGCACCTGGATGGCGACCTGGGGGAGGGGGCGAGTTACACAACCACAGCTGCCTTCTCACGATCACTCCGTGTGGCTTCTCACAGCGCCACACAGATCCTGAAATCAGTGGGTTCTGCAGCCAGGATTAAAAATAACTCCAAAAAAGGCTGCTTTCAAACTGAGCAGTTTTAAAGAGGGCGTTTGCTGCAATCACATGGCAAGTCTTTATGGGCTTTCGTTTGACGCAAATCGCAACAGAGCCCCATTTCTAGTCAACACCCTCCTAATTAGCATGCATTTAAGGCGGCTGAAGGGGGGGGTGGACCAGAGAGCATTTGCTTAGAGCCAATGTACATATTATGCAGAACAAGGAAGAAATAAATCAAAAGAAACACACACCCACCCACACCCACCCCCCCCCACACACACACTTCCTTACACAGAGCCAGACCTCTGGGTCCATACAGCTCAGTACTGTTTGGACTGACTGGCAGTCTCTCTCCAGGTTTTTCCTGCATGTACGAAGCTAATGCAGCAGTATGCATCACTCTGTCGCTGGTGCGCTTCTTTACTACTTGCGGGGAGATCCTTCCTTATGTGGGAGACCCTGCAGAGATTCTGCACTGGAACATTTCAGGTAGAGGGCATCGTGCTCTCACACGCTCACCTCGTTCTGCGTAATGCACAAGAAAGGCTTGGGAAGTTGAGGGACTCCGGAGCGTAAAACAAGCAGAATGAGACCACTTCTACGTATTTTAAATCGGAACAGACGTCAAATCCACGTTTGTTTATTTCATTTATATCCCCCACCTCCAACATCTTGGAGGTCCCAGGTCGCAAGGTGGTTAGATTGGTCTCAACTAGGGCCGGGGCCTTTTCAGTACTGGCCCCAATCTGGTGGAACGCTCTTGTCACAAGAGACTAGGGCCCTGCGGGACTTGACATCTTTCCACAGGGCCTGCAAGACAGAGCTGTTCCACCAGGCTTTTGGCCAGGGCACAGCCTGACTCCCTCCTTTGGCAATCTTCACAGAACTCTAGCCCAATGGTTGCCATCAATTTGATTTGAATTAATTTTAGAATGAAATGATTTTAGAATGTTGTATTATTTTATTGTTGTTAGCCGCCCTGAGCCCGGCTTCGGCTGGGGAGGGCGGGATATAAATAAAAATGTATTAATTATTATTATTATTTTCTCCCAAGATGCTCAAGGTGGTGGACATGCTTGCCCCGTCCATCACAAGCTCTCCATTTTATACTCGCTACAACCCTGTGAGGTAGGCTAGGCTGAGTGGCAGCGACTGGCCCAAGGTCACCCACCGAGCTTCAAGGCTGAGGGAGGATTTGAACCCAGGTCTCCCAAGCTCCTGGTCCAGCACTCTAGATTTTACTTGCAGGGAGGTTTCAGTTTGTTTGTTTTAAAGTGGGGTGGGGGGCATTTCTCTGCAGCCCGAAGCAAGATAATCTGCCCTACCTGCTAAGGGTGATACCTTCTGCAACATGAACAGGCCCCAGAGGATGTGCGGGTCCCCACAACCCAGGAGAGATCCTGCATTCAGATCTAGGGCATGGGTAGGCAAACTAAGGCCCAGGGGCTGGATCCGGCCCAATCGCCTTCTAAATCCAGCCCACAGACGGTCCGGGAATGTGTAGAATGTGTCCTTCTATTTAAAATGCATCTCTGGGTTATTTGTGGGGCATAGGAATTCATTCATTTATTTTTTCAAAATATAGTCCGGCCCCCCACAAGGTCTGAGGGACGGTGGACTGGCCCCCTGCTGAAACAGTTTGCTGACCCCTGGCAAGGAACAATGAAAACACGGTGTTGTCAGCGTCTTACACATTCATTTACTGCAGCAACATATAGAGGGCTTAACACCACAGCTCTAAGCAGTGCACAATAAGGCAGGGGGAAGATACGACAGAGATGAAAACCAGCTCAACCATGAAATGAAAGAGAAAATAACTAAAAATGCTTGCTGGAATTTTGCTTCCATATTGCTTCTGGGCACAATTCAACCGTTGAAGCCCTAAAAGCAGATTTGACCTAAACCAAGATTACAAGAGTAGAATGTGTCCTAGTATTTAAAATGCATCTCTGGGTTATTTGTGGGGCATAGGAATTCTCTCATTATTATTTTTTCAAAATATAGTCCGCCCCACCCCACAAGGTCTGAGGGACAGTGGACCAGCCCCCTGTTGAAAAAGTTTGCTGACCCCTGGTCTAGGGAAACCTTGCAAGCAGCCATCTGTAAAGCCCAACCAAGCGGATGCTGGGAACCTCAACCCGAGCGAAGCTTACCTATAATGATGAATATCTTCGAAAGATTTTGTGTTATTTATAGCAAATACGCATAAAAAGCCTTCGCCCGTCCTCATGTACTGGTCCCTCATCGCACTGTACTCCTCTTGGCCGGCTGTGTCTAGAATATCCAAGAGGCAGGTCTCGCCATCTATGACTACTTGCTTCCTGTACGAATCCTGAGAGAGGCGGGAAGAAAAGAGGGGAGGCAGAAAACGCTTTTTGATTATTCACGTACACCTAACTTAGCCGCACCAATACTACAAAGCTGGAAGCATCCTTCGCACCCGAGACATGGAGCCTGGAGGGCAAGCCGAAAACGAACAGCGCTTAGTGTGGTTGGGGGTGGTACTGCAGCTTCCGGTCTGGCCAGAATCAGGTGATGTGATGAGCCTAAAGGATTTCCCCCGCCGTGTCCCGCTGCACATTAGCCTGGTTTGCACATCACCATAAGCCAAAATGTGGCGAAAGGAAGGGATGGGAAACCTTTTACCACCTATATTCCCTTCTGAGCAACCTTCAGGGGATTCACAGCAATGGAGGAAGGTGGGGGAAGGAAGTCAAGTTTTGAAATGTTAAAATGGCTGCAAAATTATTGAAATGTATAAACCTGAAAATTATAAATTAAATTAAATAGTGAGTAGAGCAATAAACTTGAGTTTTAGCTTTGTATAGTAGGCTGGCTTCTACAGACACTTATATTTTTATGTATACTGCCCTTCCTTCGTAGATCTCAGGGCGGCTCACAGCATAGTATTGCAACACAAAAAACAACAAAATGTGTTATAAAAATAAGAACAAAGACAAAACCATCATTATTTATCATTTGTTAAATTTGAATACCACGCTATACTCGCAGGTCTCCCGCAACACATTAAAAAGGGCATTGGATGTCAATCAACCTAAAGCCTGTTTGAAGAGGGAAGTGTTTGCCTGCCACCTAAATGACATACAGTGAAGGTGCCAGGTGAGTCTCCCTGGGGAGAGCACTCCACAAACGGGGGGCCACCACAGAAAAGGCCTGTTCTCATGTTGCCAACCTCTGGACCTCACATGAAGGAGGCACACAAAGAAGGGCCTCAGAGGTTGATCTCAGGTCCAGGTAGGTTCATATGGGGAGAGGCAGTCCTGGAGGTATTGCACACGTGGAGTGTTTAAGGCTTTATGGGCCAAAACCAGAACTTTGAATTGGGTCCAGAAACTAATTGACAGCCAATGCAGTCAGTCCAAGATCGGTGTAATTATGCTCAAACCATCTTGCACTTATGCAAACCATTCTGCACTTATACACACCCCTCTCTGTGATCGGTCCAGGCAAGAAAAAGCTGTAGTCAGAGTTCAAGGGCAGATTCCAGCTAGGCAAAGGCATTTTTTGAATTTTTGAATTCTGAATTTATTGTTATTCACGTTTTATACTGTATTTTATGCTTTTTTTGTTGCATCAATTAAGTGTTTTAAATTTGTTGTTAGCTGCCCCGAGCCCGGTTTTCTGAACTGGGAAGGGCGGGGTATAAATAAAAAATTATTATTATTTATTAAAGGAGGGCATGAAAGAGGACTAGTGTGAGATGGGGCTATGGGAAGGATGAGTCCCGCATTCAGCTCCGGAGCCTCGAGGGACCTGATCCTTGGGCTTAACAGGATCATGCAAACACGTATAGCTTCTGGAGAGGATATCACAAGCTGCTTGCTCCTAACCAATACTTTTTGACTGCCACACTTTGTGGAGATAAACCAAGGTTTAGCATGCTGTGCAAACTTGGGCACAGCTCATGACTGGTGAGGAGATAGCTGAACCACAAGCCCAAGTTCGGACCGCACGCCAAGGGCAGCGTGGGAGTGAAAAAAGAGAAGCAAAACAACAGCTAATTCTCTTCCAGGAGCCTGCAAGCCCTGGTAAACCATGGTTTGGTTTACTGGGGCGTGCAAACCAGACCAATGCTTTTCTCACAATTGGGGCAGGGGGAATCAGTGCTGCACAAATAGCTAATTTGGCCTCAGTTACGGATCCGTATTTTAAGCGACCCTAACCCCTTGCTAGGGACACGGGCGGCGCTGTAGGTTAAACCACAGAGCCTAGGACTTGCCGATCAGAAGGTCAGCGGTTTGAATCCCTGTGACAGGGTGAGCTCCCGTTGCTCGGTCCCTGCTCCTGCCAACCTAGTAGTTCTAAAGCATGTCAAAGTGCAAGTAGATAAATGGCGGGAAGGTCAACGGCGTTTCCGTGCGCTGCTCTGGTTCGCCAGAAGCGGCTTAGTCATGCTGGCCACATGACCCGGAAGCTGTACGCCGGCTCCCTTGGCCAATAAAGCGAGATGAGTGCCGCAACCCCAGAGTCGGTCACGACTGGACCTAATGGTCAGGGGTCCCTTTACCTTTTAACCCCTTACTACTTTTAGATATTCCAGATTACGTTTCCCACCATTCCGTTCTGCATTTGCCTGCACCTTATCTAACCTCTCCTAGTACTTTTGCAGAGCTGGCTAGCCAGCAAACTCACTCTCAGCTATGCCGTGTTATTTCTTTTGCGAATCTGTATCTTTAAAAAATAATAATAAACACACACACAAAAAGTCCTTGTCCCTCTGCAGGAGCGCTGATCCCATCAGCAAGGCACACAACCTTCCTCCGCACGCTTTAATTTTCCAGAAAAAAATGTGTTTGGACGAAGTAGCGTCCTGACATTCCAGCCACCTCTCTTCCCACGGTTGCAACAAGAGCTTGGGTGAGAAGCAGATTTTATTTTTATTTTATCTTGCTTGCTCCGTGCTGAATGCAATCTTGATTACGTAACCAGAACAGAGGGGCAATTATATAAAAGTTACGGAGCAAAACGGATCAGAGAGGCGGGTGCCAAGATCTCAGAGTCCTTTTACCCATGGCACACCTACAAGAATTCCTTGCGCATTTCACGGGTATGACGTGACCAGTCTCGTTTTTTTCAGAGCGTTTCCACTGCAGGCAGAAGGAGCGGAGAAAGGGAAACAGTGCCGGGGCGAGAGCTCCTGGGAGGACGTCTCAAGGAAATAAAAACACACAGCAGGCCTCGTTCTGAGCTGAAGGAGCATAAACACCAAGAAAGAGCATGGCTAGATCAGACCAAAGACCCATCTAGTTTTAGCATTCCGTTTCCAGCAGCTGCAAGGCAGGTACAATTTAATAATAATAATAATAATAATAATAATAATAATAATTTATACCCCGCCCATCTGGCTGAGTTTCCCCAGACACTCTGGGCAGCTCCCAATCGAGTGTTAAAAACAATACAGCACTAAATATTAAAAACTTCCCTAAACAGGCTGCCTTCAGATGTCTTTGAAAGATAAGATAGCTGCGTATTTCCTTCACATCTGAAGGGAGGGTGTTCCACAGGGCGGGTGCCACTACTGAGAAGGCCCTCTGTCTGGTTCCCTGTAACCTCACTTCTCGCAATGAGGGAACCGCCAGAAGGCCCTCAGCGCTGGATCTCAGTGTCCGGGCTGAACAATGGGGGTGGAGACGCTCCTTCAGATATACCGGACTGAGGCCGTTTAGGGCTTTAAAGGTCAGCACCAACACTTTGAATTGTGCTTGGAAACGTACTGGGAGCCAATGCAGATCTCTCAGGACCGGTGTTATATGGTCTCTGCAGCCATTCCCAGTCACCAGTCTAGCTGCCGCATTCTGGATTAGTTGTAGTTTCCTGGTCATCTTCAAAGGTAGCCCCACACAGAGCACATTGTAGTAGTCCAAGCGGGAGATAACTAGAGCATGCACCACTCTGGCGAGACAGTCTGCGGGCAGGGAGGGTCTCAGCCTGCGTACCAGGTGGAGCTGGTAGACTCAGGGTACAAGCAGGGAACGACAACAACATTGCTTTCTGCTGTTTGGCCCCGGTTATCCAGCATTCACAGGCCTCTGAGCATGGATGTTCCATGGTAAGCAGCCACAGACAGAAGCAGCATAGCTCAGGGCAGGCCATTCTGCTTTGCATGCAGAAGGTCCCATGTTCATTCTGGAATTTCCAGCTAGGGCTGGGAGAGGCTCCCTGCCCAAAATCCAGGAAGGTCACTGCTAGCACTGAGTTGGATGGACCAACAAGGCCGATCCCTGTGGTTCTTGAATTTGCCCAATTCACCCTTCCCCAATACGGTTGTTGCAGGAATTTATGTATAGGTGTGGGGGGGGGGTTGCCCTCCAGCAGATATCATGCACATGCAGCCACTACCAAAATCAGAACAATCGCTTTGGTGATTTGTCCCCACAAAACACTTCATCACAATTTCTTCCTATCTATTCAAAGGGCCTCTGCTGCACGATACCAAATGTAACAATTCGCTGATAAATGTATTTATGTACTGGCTCACTGGGAAAACTTCAGAAATTCATATAGACACGTGAGCTCAGCTACTCAGCAGCCCCTCTGCCTAAGTGATAAGCCCTGGCATCCTGATACCTGAGTGCCAGACAGGTAGCCATTTCAGAAATAACAAACCCAGATGAAGACAACAGGGTGTGATTAACTTGGCTGGGAAAGAGGGAAATGTAAATATCTCTTTGGTTACACTTGATAGGTGTTTGGTGGAGGGCAAGGAGAACCATGGGGCAGGGTCCAGGATGCTCAGATTACTGCCACCAGACCTCCCCCTTCATGATGTAACCATGATGTATTTGTGATGTAGTTTGGGGGGGGTGTAACATGGGGATTAGCAGCTAATAAAAGTTTTGGGGCCCTTTTGTTCGGGGCTTCCATCTTGTTCCACCTTGTGGCAGGTGGGAGTCCTGTTGGTCTCAATAAAGACCAAGCCTACTGGCTGCTGTTTTGCTCTGGTATTCCTGGCTGGTGTCCTTGTCTTTTTTGTCCAAGGGAGCCCTCAGATTTCTCCGTTAACAGGTAATAATAATAATAATCTTATTATTTGTACCCCACCCATCTGACTGGGTTGCCTCAACCACTCTGGGCGGATTCCAGCATATACAAAAACATAACAAAACATCAAACATTAAAAACTTGGGCTGCCTTTGGATATCTTCCAAAGGTTGTATAGCTACTTCTCGACATCTGACAGGAGGGCATTCCACAGAGAAGTCCCTCTGCCTGGTTCCCCATAGCTTCACTTATCGCAGAGAGGGGACCACCAGAAGTCCCTCGGAACTGGACCTATGTGTCCAGGCTGAATGATGGGGGAGGCGTGGAGACTCTCCTCCAGGTATAATAATAATTTATAATAATTTATTATTTATACCCCGCCCATCCGGCTGGGCTTCCCCAGCCACTCTGGGCCGCTTCCAACAAAATATTAAAATACAATAGTCTATTAAACATTAAAAGCTTCCCTTTAGGGCTTTAAAAGTCGGCACCAACACTTTGAATTGTACTTGGAGCCAATCTAGATCCTTTCGGACGGGTATTATATGGTCCTGGTGACTGCTCCCAGTCACCAATCTAGCTGCCACATTCTGGATTAGTTTCCAAGTCACCTTCATAGAGCGCCATTGCAGTAGTCCAAGCGGGAGATAACCATAGCATGGCAATATGTTGCCTTCCAGGTATTTTAGATTACGACTCCTATCAGCCCCAGGCGGAATGGCACTGTGTTCAGTACTCAGAGTAGACCCACTGAAATTAATGGCCCTGAGTAAGTAGCGCCCATTGACATCAGCGGGTCGGAGTAGGACTAGCACGCACTACAACCTCACGGATTTCTACATACACCTCTCTCCGTCCAGGAAAACCAAAGGCCTTATTTATGAGATTTCTTACCATAAAGGTCCCAGGGCCGATTGCACAATACAAGAAACAACGTGCAAACAACACAGACAGAACGGCTGCAACGATAAAAACAGGTAAAGCCAGTCAGCCAGAGGCAGGCCCTACGAAACAAAATACTTTCGCTGTGGAACACCATGGTAAAGCGGTACATTTTTCCAGCATATGGCAAATGCCATACAGCGAAAATCATAGAATCACGGAGCTGGGACCATGAGGGGCATCTAGTCCAACCCCCTGCAATGCAGGACTACGCAGCCGTCCCATATGAGGATTGAACCTGCAACCTTGGCATTTCTCAGCACCATGCTCTAACCAACTGAGCCACCCTAGATGTATCTCTTTAGGGAGGGAGTTGCACAGTTCAGGGGCTGCCACTGAGAAAACCCTCTGCTGCACTATGGTTCCCCACACTTCTGGGAGTGGGAGAACTACCAAGAAGCCCCCTCAGCTGATCCTAAAAACCTGAGATCAGTAAGAATGATCCCAGTTCAAGGACACATGCCCCTCCCCAACCCCCACGTCTCTCCAGCCTGGCATAGCCCCACATAAGAACTCAATGTGGGGCTATGCCAGGCCAGAGAGACGTGGGGGTCAGGGAGGGGCATTGCCTGAAGATCACATTTGGCCCCAAGTTGCCCACCCCGAGCGAGATGTCTCAAGTCTGCCTCCGACAGATGCTGGTTTTACATTTTACAGCTACGGCTTTAGCTATTAAAGGTAAAGGGAGCCCTGACCATTAGGTCCAGTTGTAGCCGACTCTGGGGTTGCGGCGCTCATCTCGCTTTACTGGCCGAGGGAGCCGGTGTACGGCTTCCGGGTCATGTGGCCAGCATGACTAAGCCGCTTAGCCCAAAAATGGAAAATGAGAAAGGTCCCAACCAAAGAAGAATGGCTTCACTAGCTGACAGAATATGCACAACTCGCAGACTTAACATATAGAATAAGAGAACAAGACCCTACGTTTGAACAAGATTGGAAAACGTTTGTTGAATATATGGGAAATAATTGCATACAGCTGAAAACGCTGGCAGCATTAAGATAAATTCAACAGTGTAAACAAGTTTTGATGGATGCAATAATGGAATACTGAATGGTATAGTTTTTGTATGGATTTAGGATATGAAAAATGAACCATGGAAAGAGAAGAAGGGAAGTCACTGATACCTTAAGGATGTAAAATGAGTATTTTAAATTGTAAAGCAGAAAATTTAATAAAAAGTATATATATATATATATATATGATGGCTTTTACATCTCAAGGCGTTTGATTTATTTAAAAAAGTACAGTGGTACCTCAGGTTAAGTACTTAATTCGTTCTGGAGGTCCTCCGTACTTAACCTGAAACTGTTCTTAACCTGAAGCACCACTTTAGCTAATGGGGCCTCCTGCTGCTGCCGCGCCACCGGAGCCCGATTTCTGTTCTTATCCTGATGCAAAGTTCTTAACCTGAAGCACTGGGTTAGCAAAGTCTGTAACCTGAAGCGTCTGTAACCTGAGGTACCACTGTAATGCAAGTTCAAAAAAAGCACAAAGATAAATGGGTCCACCTCAGCCCTTCCCAACGTCTCCCCCACTCCTTCACTCCTTCGCTTCCTTTAGCCCCGCAAGTCCACCTCAATTCCAGCCAGGATGGTGGGAAACCCAACACCTCCCCCAGGCCACCCAGGTGAGACGCCAGGTAAGGGGCCTAGCATCAGCAACACTGGGGAGGCTCCCAAAAGCTGGGCGTGGGGAGGCAACACACACACACAAACACACACTGGTCACACAAACAAAGGAAGTGGCACCCCCACACAGCACTTTCGGTCACACTCTTGCGTGAGCCGTTATCGCTCAGTTCCACGATACTTGCATAACATAAATTCCTACTACTCTGTGCCCTCGTTGGGGTTGGTCTGTTTAATAAGAAAGGCGGAACCTGCAGATAACCAAGAAAAAAAACTTCTGTTGGGTTCACCAGCTGAGGGGGTGAGTCACATCCAGAGGCTTGAGAAAAACCACAGACTTCTCTTTGGGTCAAGCAAGATAGCCATTTGACCAGCAGAGGGCACTCTGTGAACTTTGGCTGCTGGTTTTCATTTCAGCTAAGGGATGCTGTCCTGCTAGGATGCAGATTTCACGTCCTGCCAGTTTTGGTGCTTGCTGCTATTGTTTCTGTATAGCTGTCGTTATAAATATATGTATTTGTAAAAATTACTAGGCCCCTGCCGCACTCACATCTTATGTGACAGGGTCAGTGGTACATAAAGAGACGTCCGTCTCCAAGAGCTTTCACTTTTTTTCTTTCTTTTTTTACGCCCGTCAGCTCACTGAAGAAAGAATTCGGCATTCGCTTCTTCTATCCTCTCTCACCCTGTTATGAATCTACACTAAAAGGGAGTTGACTGCATGTGAAAAATCACAGCAGAACATCTCACGCAGGTCAGGAGGCTTTTGTCATATAGTTGGAAGGGATCCCTAGGGTCAAAGTATTTTAATACGGTACTTTGTTGGAAGCCGCCCAGGGTGGCTGGGGAGACCCAGACAGATGGGCGGGGTATAAATAATAAATTTATTATTCTTATTCTTATTAATATCATCTAGTCCAACCCTCTGCAATGCGCGAATCTTTTGCCCCACATGGGGCTTGAACCCAATCTTCTGTAAGAAAGCAACTCTCTGACTCATTATCCCTATCAGTGTATCACCAGTAATAATCCTGTTACAGTGGTACCTCGGGTTAAGTTCTTAATTCGTTCCGGAGGTCCGTTCTTAACCTGAAACTGTTCTTAACCTGAAGCACCACTTTAGCTAATGGGGCCTCCTGCTGCTGCTGCGCTGCCGGAGCACAATTTCTGTCCTGAAGCAAAGTTCTTAACCCGAGGTACTATTTCTGGGTTAGCGGAGTCTGTAACCTGAAGCGTATGTAACCTGAAGCGTATGTAACTCGAGGTACCACTGTATTGGGCCTCAGATTGACTTGTAACTCCTTTAATTTTTCCTCTAGATGCCCTTTCCGGAAGAGGAAACACCATTCCAGGGATATGTTTTTTTAACCGCTTGTGGTTATCTATTTAAGCATGCATATAAGATCACTCAGGAACTGATCTTCAAGAGGGAGTGCAACAAAGCGTTAGACGGGGCCCAGGGTTAAGTGGGTGACTCGGGGGCCAGAAAGAGTCTGCCTCTCACGGTTGTCATGGCGATGAAATGGGACCAATTCTACACAAGTCACCTTGAGCTTCTCAGGCGGGATTATAATGTAAGAAACGGGAGGATAATTGGCATCATCGCCTTTGTGAGAAAGTCAGGTGTCAATCTGAATTCAAACCTCAGGTCCTTAATCCGCTTACTTTGCTGAAGGAACGCAGACCAGCCCTCCCCTAAGAGAGTCTTGAAGGGACAAAGATGAATGAGGTAGGAGGATGACTTAAAAGTCATCGACTCATTCAACTATCAAGAGCCCATTGTGTGGAGTCCTCCAGCTCAAGGCTGCTTGGAAGGTGATAAAAACCTCCAGTTATCCGATGGCGTTTGTTCCCATCTTTGTCCTTTGTTTATCTCGACGCAAACTTGCTTGCATTTGATTAGGAGGCCTTGTAACAGCACAGGATCAGGGCCTCAGTGGGGGCTACACTGTGAAGGCAAGTAGTGGACGTGGCTTAAAGAAATCATAGCGTGGGTGCTGACCTTTAAAGCCCTAAATGACCTGAAGGAGCGTCTCCACCCCTGCTGTTCAGCCCGGACACTGAGGTCCAGCTCCGGGGGCCTTCTGGGGGTTCCCTCACAGCAAGATGTGAAGCTACAGGGCAGAGGCCAGTTGGGCAGAGGGCCTTCTCGTTAGTGGCACCCTCTCTGTGGAACGAACGCCCTTCCATCAGATGTCCAACAGATAAACATGACTTGTAGGAGACATCTCTAGGCAGCCCTATATAGGGAACTCTCTAATGTTTGATATCCTATTATGCTTTTATATTTGTTGGAAGCCACCCAGAGTGGCTGGGGCAACCCAGTCAGGTGGGTGGGGTACAAATAATAAAATTATTATTATTATATTGCTGGGCTATGTAGCCCAATGGTCCGAATCGGTATAAGGCAACTTTCTGCGTTCGTCCATTTGGCTACTGTGGGATAGCAGGTGGCTTGTCTGGCCTAGCAACACAGGTCCAGTATACCTGAAGGAGCATCTCCACCTCCATCGTTCTGCCTGGACACTGAGGTCCAGCGCCGAGGGCCTTCTGGTGGTTCCCTCGCTGCAAGAAGCCAAGTTACAGGGAACCAGGCAGAGGGCCTTCTTGGTAGTGGCACCCGCCCTGTGGAACGCCCTCCTACCAGATGTCAAAGAGAAAAACTATTACCAGACTTTTAGAAGACATCTGAAGGCAGCCCTCTTGAGGGAAGCTTTTAATGTTTAACAGACTACTGTATTTTAATACTTTGTTGGAAGCTGCCCAGAGTGGCTGGGGAAACCCAGCCAGATGGGCGGGGTATAAATAAATAAATAAATAAATAAATAATAATAATTATCTGCATTCTCTATCTAGATGGCTGCTTATAAAGCAATGTTGGATTTCTATACAAGGAGCAAAATGGCTTGCCTGCTCAGTCTTCACCTGCCAAGAAGGTAAGCTCTACAGCTCATCTGCCAGCTCTACAAACACTCATTGCAAAATGGTCCACAACAAGAAATAACTACCATTATTTCTACTAGTTATTTGTACCATTTCATCATTTCATCCTCCTGCATTTCTAGGACAAGCCTAGAAGAGACTGTCCTGTCAAGGGCCGTCAAGAAAGTTTTGATCAGCAGCAGAACTTGAACTCGGGACTTCCTGGTTCATCGCTCGATCCCTTGGTTACCACATTACAATGCCATAGCCTTTCCCAGATGGGTGCCCTGCTTATCTTTTGGGCAGTGCTGGCAGGAGCTGATGGGAATTGTAGCCCAAAAGATCTGGAAGGACTTTGGAACCCGAAAACTTAGTCGACTTCCCTGGACAGTTTGAAGGCTACGGGAGGACCAGAAAGCAGCAGCACTTCACAGATAAGGACAGATGACCTTGCAAAACCCCAGCGCTCATAAACAAGGATCACCTCTTTTACATCTTTACTTGAAGGTTCTTGCCATATTCACTTATTCTTCCACCGTCTGCCCTCTGCTAATTTAAAAGCGCAGACAATGCCTGTTCTTTCAGTTAATAACATGTTAAAATACATAATCGCCTGACAATGTATTTTCACAATTCAAAAGATACCTCTCATGCCGTCTTCAGACATGCTATTAAAACCGTTTTTTTTTGTTCTGCCAGACTTTTTTTAAAGAAACAATTAAGTCTTATTTGCCTCTCTGCCAGCTGCTGTTTTGAAATTCTTTCATGCCAAGTCTTTTGAATTTGTTTTTATTGCCTGCGTTGTAGGATGCCTTGGAAATAATCTTATTCTGAAAGGAGGCTGGATGGGAATTAAACAAAGGAGGACAAGTCTGCCAGTAGCGTGGCTGCAAGAGGCAAAATGACAGGGCATTGTTAGCATTGGCCCCTGGGGTCCCTTCCAACTCTACAATTCTCTGATTATATGAGGTTCTCACCCTACAGTGCCTTAATACTCCAGGGCAATACAGGCAAGATGCCTCCATTCCCTGCTCAAAGATTGAACTACTGACCTTGCTAGCAACTCCCATTAACTAGGTTGTGGGTTTTTAAAGTTTAATTTAGGTTTTTAGGCTTTGGGGGGATTTTTTAAGCATTTATTTTTTAAAAAAAATCACCCTACTTGCCGTATGTTTGGGTTTTCCCCGACCTTTTGCCAATTCAGGGGAAAAAACAACAACAACGCCCGGACGCCATTTTGAAGCCCGATGCCCAGAGGAAGGAGGAAGCCCAGACGTATGACAGCCCTGCATTAAGAAAACTTTGGGCAAGGCCAGAGATGCAACAGCAGAACATCTGCTTTGCATGCAGAAGGAGGTCCCAGTTTCAGTTCTACGCATCTCCAGGTGGCGATGAGAATGTCCCTTGCCCAACGCCCCATCCCCTGACTTACGGGATTTCTGCCGATTCCCACATGCGCCCCTTTTTCTGGGGTTTCAGCAGGTGTTGATAACACATTTTCAACCCTGTTAATGGGGCCTTAAGAATTGGAGGTCAAGATCACCCCTTGCTGGATCAGAACTAAGGTCTTCCTAGTCCAGCAAGCTGTCATCGACCTTGGCCGGCCAGGAGCTTCCAAGAAGGTCACAAGCAGGGTGCGAGACCTCAGCCAACCACCCTCTTACTTTGCCGAAGGGCATCTATGCATATAAATTAGCAGGCGCAAATCTGCGACACGGATCAATGGCCGGGTGTTCCCCTGGTGTAGCAATTACGTAAACAGGCCACATTTCATGGCACGGCAGCACCTAGCCACAATAGTGCTATATTTTCTAAATCCATAGTCTTCAACCGTTTCAAACCTGGGACCCACCTCTAACTCAATCCTGCATTTGGAGATGCCTTTCTTAACGTTTTTTAACCATATTTGCCTATGGCAGTAGTGCTGCTGTTGCAACCCACCACAGGCCAGGCCACTTCAATTACAGTATATACTCAAGTATAAGCCGATCCAAATATAAGCCGAGGCACCTAATTTTAGCACAATGAACTGGGGAAACTTATTGACTCGAGTATAAGCCGGTTCACCACACCACAAACCAGGTGGTGGCGGCAGCGGCGGAGGAAGGAGCAGCCCGAAAGGGCTCCTTTCGGGCCGCTTGTCCCTCCACCGCTACCTCTGCCACTCGCAAGAGCAAGCATAGGAGCCACGGTTGGGAGAGGAACAGCGCAGCGCAGTGCCCATGGGAGAGGAACAGCGCAGCGCAGTGCCCGTGGGAGAGGAACAGCGCAGTGCCTCTCCCAGCCGCAGCTCCTGTGCCTGCCCTTGCAAGAGGCGGCCAGCAGCAGGACCACCGGCAAGAAAGGGCTCCTTTCGGGCCGCTCATCCCGCTGCCTCACTCGAGTATAAGCCGAGGGGGGCTTTTTTCAGCATAAAAAATGTGCTGAAAACATCGGCTTATACTCGAGTATATACAGTTTGTTATTTGTTTATTAAATTTGTGAGTCGTTCTTTGTCGCCCGGGGCAGCCCAACGCAACTTACAAACCAACCAACAAGCAATACTCATAGAATTATAGAGTTGGAAGGGACCCCAAATGAAATCTGGTCCAACCCCTCTCAATGCAGGAATACTGCACACAGCCGTCTCTGGGGGTGGGGCTCAAACTGCCAACCTTCTGGTTAACAACCAGACGCGCTGACCCATTGCACCACACTAGAACCCCACATCTCCTGCCCACCTAGCAGTTCGAAAGCACGTCAAAGTGTGAGTAGATAAATAGGTACAGCTCCGGCGGAAAGGTAAACAGCGTTTCCGTGTGCTGCTCTGGTTCGCCAGAAGTGGCTTAGTCATGCAGGAAGCTGTACGCTGGCTCCCTCGGCCAATAAAGTGAGATGAGCGCCGCAACCCCAGAGTCGGCCACGACTAGACCTAATGGTCAGGAATCCCTTTACCTTTACCTTAGACCCCACATGCCCCAGTACTGGGTCCCCACCCACCTGCTGAAGACCAGTGCTCTACATCAGGCATGCATTCCAGATCCAGGAACACGCTTTTAACATGCATTTGGGGACCCGTCCCTTAATCTTCCACCCTATATTTGCTGGGAGCACTCCCATTGCTCACGGAAGCTGTTTTGGGAAATTCCACAACTCAAGGAAGAAGGCTGCTGGGTTAAACCATTTTTGTCCCCTGCAAGTCAGCCAGTGAGAAAATCCACCTCCTCCAGTGGCTTTTGCCAGATGACTCCCACAGTCCATGGGTGGTTAGGGAACTAAGTTATACCAAGAGCAGAGTCATTGAAATGAATGGGCCCAAGTCTGTGAATAGCATGAACACAGCACAGCTCCGTGCCTAGAGGAACATCGACAATCCACCTTTGACAGAGAGTCGTGAAGAATTAATAGACGATTAAAGGTTAAAAAAGGGGTTAATCCTTTATCTCTGTTATCGTTATGAACATATGCAAAACCCAAGAGCTAAATGCATCCTAGGAGAGCCCAGTCAAGATGGAAAAGGAGAAAACAAGATTCCTGCATTGCCTTGCGGTCTCTTATTCACTTATTAGGAAATCATTTACCTCTATTGTAGGGTCGTATTCATCTACGAAATGGTTCTGAATCAGCTGTATCGTCAGCGCACTCTTGCCCACGCCACCAGCTCCAACAACAACCAGCTTGTATTCCGTCATCTTCTGCAGGCCTGTTGAAGATGAAGCAGAAATATCAGCTTTATTCAATGGAACACTGGAGGCCCTTTGGCTACAGGTAACTCTTCTCGTTGCCTTTATTCGCAAGTCCAAAGACACAGAAACCACAAGGAAAGGACGCTGCCATCAAATAAGCAAAGCTTTGCATGGCTTCGTTTTCCAAATCCAACGTCGGAAATGGCAATATTCCAGAAACCAGGAGGGCATCTCGGTATACCAAGACACTCTCCAACCAACCTTGCATTTAACCACCCTAGAACAAAATAACTTCAAAAGGAAACACCAGGGGGCTGAACTGCAATTCATCAGGCAGTTATGAATTATGTCAGCTGGGTCTTGAATCGAGATTGTGGATTTTTGATTGCACTCCTTACACCACCAATGCTGGGATGTTTCTTTCGTCACCTTGTTTAATTGGCCATTGCAATTATTTTGCTTTTAGGGTTGTACAGTAGGGATGGGCAATATCTGGTTTTCAACATCACAATATATCACCAGCTAAACATTGTGATATACTGATATATCACCAAGTCTGAAATAAGGCATTGGCCAGCTTCACGGTTATTCCTGCATCGTGATTTTTGCAAAGCACACAAACACACACACCATGATTCACGATATATTGCCAGGTCAAAAATTATGAAACTGATATTACAATATGGACTTGAAACCAGTTTTGGACGATTTATCAACATATCGTCCAGCCGTAATGTACAGCTAAGCTGGTCTCTGACTGGACTTTTTGCATTTCAGTTATTTCTGATACCCACATACACACCATGCTGCTCCCAGTCTCATGTATCTGAACGTAAGAGTGGTTCACCTAGTGGGGTGAAGCCACAGCAATGGCCTCCTTCACCTGCCAGAAGGGTCGAAGCGGCAGCAAGGTCCGGGTTGCGCCAGCACACCATGAAAACGTGTCTGGCACTCACACCAATGCAGCTGCAAAGGCCTGACTCTGCTGCTCCCACAGTCCTGCCAAACCGCAGACATGGCTCAGCAGAAGGCGATTGGTGGTCTCCACCACATGGGACAACCTGCTCCTCCCACAATCCAAGAAAGATTGGGTTGCATTTAATAGAATCATAGAATGACAGAGTTTGAAGGGACCCTGAGGATCCTCTAGTCCAACCCCCGGCAATGCAGGAATATGCAGCTGTCCCATATTTGTTAGTCTTCAGGGAGCCACGAGGCTCTTTGCTGTTCTTTTTACTATATACGGCTAAGCTATTTCTCACGTAATTAGAGTAAATAAATACGGAACAGAATTCCAGACCAAAGGGCTCACTAAACTCGACTACCATTCCTTTAGCTCAGCCAGTAAAGCATGAGATTCACAATGCAAAATTAGAATATTCAGAGCATGCACATACATGGCACATTCTGTACATACAGTGGTACCTCAGGTTACATACACTTCAGGTTACAGACTCCTCTAACCCAGAAATAGTACCTTGGGTTAAGAACTTTGCCTCAGGATGAGAACAGAAATCGTGCTCTGGCGGCGTGGCAGTAGCGGGAGGTCCCATTAGCTAAAGTGGTGCTTCAGGTTAAGAACAGTTTCAGGTTAAGAATGGACCTCCAGAACAAATTAAGTACGTAGCCCGAGGTACCACTGTATGACCAGCAGCGTTCAAAAGAGTGTTTGCCATCCTGCCACACTCAATCTCATTGAAAATGGCATGTACAACTGAAAATTCAACCGTCTCAGTAGTGGAGATCAAAGTAACTGGCAGGTGGCACTTTATAGCTTTGGCCAAATTGCCGCCATTCATTCAGATGACCTCCAAAGGCAACAGCCAAGTGACACAAATACTAAAGTTTTGGTCATCTCACTACGCCAATGAGCATGGTGGGGCAACAATGCCACAGCAGATCAGACAATGCGAGAGTTGTGCTTCAAACACATCCAAAAAGAAGGGCTACCAGGAATTACTTTAAGATTCCAAGTATATAACTGACCACCTTCAAGTATTTTTCCAGATCTATTCAGAAGAAGTTAAATCACCATCCCTAAAATTCCATAAAGGACACGGGTGGTGCTGTGGTCTAAACTGCTGAGCCTCCTGGGCTTGCCGATCAGAAGGTCAGCGGTTCGAATCCCCGCGACGGGGTGAGCTCCCGTTGTTTGGTCCCTGCTCCTGCCAATCTAGCAGTTCGAAAGCACACCAAAAATGCAAATAAATTAATAGGTACCGCTCCAGCGGGAAGGTAAACAGCATTTCCATGCAATGCTCTGGTGTCAGTGTTCTGTTGCGCAAGAAGCGGCTTAGTCATGCCTGCCACATGAACCGGAAAAACTGCGGAGCAGACAAATGTCGGCTCCCTTGGCCTGTAAAGCGAGATGAGCGCCGCAACCCCAGAGTCGTTCGCGACTGGACTGTCAGGGGTCCCTTTACCTTTAAAATTCCATAAGTACATTTAGTGTCCAAAAATTACTGGGCCAACAAGTGCCAAGGGAAGGAGAGAGCAGCAACCCTCTCTCTCCCCCCCCCCCTCAATCCTGCTGGTATTCATGGCATCAGTCAAATGGCATCAGTTTGGTTGCAAGTCGCTTTTAATTGACCTGGGTAAGATACAGCAACTAACTAAATTAAGAAGAAGAAGAAGAAGAAGAAGAAGAAGAAGAAGAAGAAGAAGAAGAATAGGTACGCACTGCTTGGAGGGCTGTTCAGCCTAGGATGTCCACTAAGGAGTGAGAAATGGGGCACAGCCCACCAACTGTGGACATCTAAACAGCAGACACAGCCTTCCACACTATGGCAAGATGTATTGCATGGCATTTAAATGATGCCTAAATCCAAACCTGTACATATAAATTGGCACATTCAAATATTACGTGATTATGTGCTCTCGCATCCCTTTTTTGGGGGGAGGTGCCAAGCGGCTGCCATGAATGTACCCTGGTGTCAGATTCCCCTTCCTCAGGAAATAAAGTCAAGGACTTTTTGAATCAGAAGAACCTTCTCTCTCCTCAACCCCAAATCCCATTGACATTTATTTTATTTTATTTTTATTTTTGGAATGGCTTAAAGCAGGAAAATGCATGGGCAAACTCGGCCCTCCAGATGTTTTGGGACTACAACCCCCATCATCCCTGACCACTGGTCCTGTTAACTAGGGATGGGAGTTGTAGTCCCAAAACATCTGGAGGGCCGAGTTTGCCCATGCTTGGCTTAAAGTTACAAGAAAGGAGATTCCTAATAAACATCAGGAAGAACTTTCTGACAGTAAGAGCTGTTTGACAGTGGAACGGACTCCCTCAGAAAGTGGTGGTCTCTCCTTCCTTGGAGGTTTTTAAGCAGAGGCTGGGTGGCCATCTGTCAGGGAGGCTTTTGTTGAGATTCCTGCATTGCAGGGGGTTAAACTAGATGACCCTTGGAGTCTCTTCCAACTCTACAATTCTATTATTCTATGTAATCAGGCGCCAGAAGAAGAGGCATTTATTGTACAGTAAGCCTGCAGCTCACGCAGGGGCTGTGTTCCAGGGATCAAACCTTGAGCCAAAATCGCTTATTATCAAAACACATTGGGTTCAATGGCAGGTGGGGTTGCCAAAGTCAATTTTCCTGGATCCCTGCCCAGTTTTCCAATACCCTTTTTTTATATAAAAAAAAATGCTATGCGCGTAAAGCTGAATGTACACAAGTTAAATGTTCATAAGTTGTGGGCTTGCCGTATTGAGAGCATTGGCCAGAAGCACAGCCCCTGGCAACATGCCTCAAAAGCGACAGAAATTAACTAAAGACAGCTCCACCATGGCCTATGTGAGTAAGAGGGATCTGAACCATGGTTTCCTGATTCCAAGGCCAGTGTACTCACTGAATCAGGTTCAGGAATCACTTTAGAGCTATTTACATACCTAATAATGCTGTGAGGAGGAATTAAAGAACCTTTTAATGAGGGTGAAATAGGAGCGCAAAATATGGTTTGAAGCTCAACATCAAAAAAACAAAAATCATGGCTACTGGGCCCATCACCTCCTGGCAAATAGAAGGGGAAGAAATGGAGGCAGTGAAAGATTTTACTTTCTTGGGCTCCATGATCACTGCAGATGGTGACAGCAGTCACGAAATTAAAAGACACCTGCTTCTTGGGAGAAAAGCAATGACAAACCTAGTAAAAGGTAAAGGTACCCCTGCCTGTACGGGCCAGTCGTGTCCGACTCTAGGGTTGCGCGCTCATCTCGCTCAAGAGGCCGGGAGCCAGCGCTGTCCGGAGACACTTCCAGGTCACGTGGCCAACGTGACCAAGCGGCATCTGGCGAGCCAGCACTAGCACCGCACACGAAAACGCCGTTTACCTTCCCGCTATAAAGCGGTACCTATTTATCTACTTGCACTTAGGGGTGCTTTCGAACTGCTAGGTGGGCAGGAGCTGGGACCGAACGACGGGAGCTCACCCCGCCGTGGGGATTCGAACCGCCGACCTTGCGATCAGCAAGTCCTAGGCACTGAGGTTTTACCCACAGCGTCACCCGCGTCCCTAGACCTAGACAGCATCTTAAAAAGCAGAGACATCACCTTGCCAACAAAGGTCCGTATAGTTAAAACTATGGTTTTCCCAGTAGTGATGTATGGAAGTGAGAGCTGGACCATAAAGAAGGCTGATCGCTGAAGAATTGATGCTTTTGAATTGTGGTGCTGGAGGAGACTCTTGAGAGTCCCATGGACTGCAAGAAGATCAAACCGATCCATTCTGAAGGAAATCAGCCCTGAGTGCTCACTGGAAGGACAGATCATGAAGCTGAGGCTCCAATACTTTGGCCACCTCATGAGAAGAGAAGACTCCCTGGAAAAGACCCTGATGTTGGGAAAGATGGAGGGCACAAGGAGAAGTGGACGACAGAGGACGAGATGGTTGGACAGTGTTCTTGAAGCTCCCAGTATGAGTTTGACCAAACTGCAGGAGGCAGTGGAAGACAGGAGTGCTTGGCCTGCTCTGATCCAGGGGTCACGAAGAGTCGGACACGACTAAACGACTAAACAACAACAAAATAATGCTGTATATCACTTTACACTCGAAAAGAATCCACAGCAATTTATAGTAAATCAGACCACCACCACAATTAAAACACAATTTTCAAAAAGTATCACCGACACACACACAACTGCTATCAAGTTACTTGTCTTTTTTTTTTATCATGAACACTTGAATGTCGAATGTCTTATCTATTAAAAAAATGCATTTACTCTGATGGCACCAGCAAAACCTATTTTTAAATTTACGACTTCAAACAATATTATTGTAGGGCTGCTGTTGGCTGTCATGTTCTCTCCTATTAAAGTCCATTTTTATCTAGTTAGGTAATTTATGAGCCAATATATACCAAAGAGGGACTTTTCTTGTACTTTGAACTTGAGAAACACATCATTATTATGATGCAGCGCCTGCTGAAATTAAATGAAAGTCACAAGTTCCATATTACTTGGTTCAGATGCTAATCTAACAGAGAAAAACATCCTATTTTCTTTCTTCATCAAACTGATAAAACTTACTCAGCAGAGCTTTTAATAAATTCATAACAGATTACGTGACGTAGGTTAGGCGGAAACACATTGCGGCTGCCGCTTCCCCAAAGCCAATACGGGATAAACTGGGATTAGAGTCGATGTTTCTCACTTCCAAACTTGAAGATACCAGCCAAGTGCTTTTCAGTTTTTCAGCCTTCAAGAAACCGTTTCTGCTTTGGACTTGCCTGTCAGATAAAACTCTTGATGGAACCTCTGCAAGTTGCAGAGAATTCTGGCGCATGTTGCAAGGTGTGCAGCCAGCTCACCTGTGCACTATAAGCAGACCTGCTGAGCCTCAGCTTGAGCTCTGGGCATGGACAACATGGCCCCAATACACCCTGTACAAAGAAAGAGAAGATAGATACCAGCGGGCAAAGCATTTTTCAGGGGAAGTTGCCCATCATAACTGATCTCTTCGTGACCATTCCACATTCATCTGCATCCATATAAAAATCCACATCCAAAAACATTTCAACATGTGTGATTACGGCTGACTATTGGGCATGGCAGCTGGGGCTGATGGGAGTTGTGGTCCAAAACCTCAAGAAGACACCGTAAGAATTGGTAGAAAATGTTAGTAGTGCTGAAAAACACCTTTATGATGCCTGGAACAATAGAACAAGGGTAGCTTAATACGACACTCTCCACTTGGCTAAAGTTCATCTTGGTCACCAGGGATGATGGGAGCTAGAGTCCAACGGGCATCTAAAAGGGTCATAAGTTCCCTCCATCCCTGCAACTCTAGAATGCGTTGGCTGAGGTTCCTGCATTGCAAGGGGTTGGGATAGATGACCGTCAGGGTCCCTTCCAACTCTACAATTCTCAAAGGTTCCACAACCACATCCAGCAGCCTTTGGAAGGTGCAAGGACTGGAGCTGTCACAACAAACACATCCAAACCCGGTTCACACGATGTCTATGCAATGAGACAGTGTCTTTTCTTGCGCGAGCCAGACTTTTAAAATACCACAGGTGAGCTTTAGAGCTACACAGACATTTTTCACCAGGCTTGGAGAAAGAACAAACAAAGCCTTTGCCGGATTATACTTTATCCTAGCCGAGCTTGCCACATTTAAAAAATAGGAAATAATCGTTACAGAACGTTAATAAACATTACAGAAGCCATCTACGGACAGGGTGGTGGGAAGCTTTAACCTCTCAGGAATTCCCCCACTGGCAATATGGCCATTTCTGCATATCCAGCACTCAGGACCTCTCCAATTTGAACCACAGGGACTCCGCAAAAACCTTTACCACCCTGCATACTCTGGTTACAGCAAGCGGCAGGCAGGCCACTCGCCACAAGAACAGGGAAATGGCACTTTCACAAGGTCTTCAGTACTACTCGGCATCTAGATTTGCCCAATACAGTGGTACCTTGGTTCTCAAACTTAAACTGTTCCGGAAGTCCGTTCCAAAACCAAAGCGTTCCAAAACCAAGGTGCGCTTTCCCATAGAAAGTAATGCAAAATGGATTAATCTGTTCCAGACTTTTAAAAACAACCCCTAAAACAACAACGTAACACGAATTTTACTATCTAACGAGACCACTGATCCATAAAATGGAAGTAATAAACAATGTGCTGCAGTCACACAATCAATCAGTAGTTGAACTGGGTTCCACAGTCAGCAAAACAAAACGAAAAAGAGCCGCAAAAACGCAAAATAAAGAGCTAAAACAGACAGACCTCAGCATAACACTCAAATCGAACCATAGCACTCAAGACGGACGCGTAACACAGAAAAAGTTCGCAAACTGGAACACTTACTTCCGGGTTTGCAGTGTTTGGGTTCCAAGTTGTCTGAGTACCAAGGCGTTTGAGAACCAAGGTACCACTATATAGAAAACAGAATTTCATTTGATTTAAAGTTTAAACTCCTCATCCCCAATATTTGTTCATATTCATCTCTCAGTGGTTTTGCAGGTACAAGATCTCAGGCTCAATCCCAGGCATCTCCAGGTAGGGGCTAATAGAGACCCCTGCCTGATGCGCTGGGGAACAGCTGCCAGTCAGTGCAGAGGACACTCAGCCAAATGGGCTTGTGGAGTATAAGGCAGCCCCGCCCCCTTTTGCCTCTGGCCCCACCCACTTTTTGTCTGTTACTCCACCCACAATGGAATTATACAGTTGGAAAGGACCCCGGGATCATCCGGTCCAACCCCCTGCAATGCAGGAACCTTTTGCCTAACCTGAGGCTCAAATAATAGTAACAACAAGAAGAACAACAACAACTTTATTATTTATATCCCACTCATCAACAACAACTTTATTATTTATACCCCGCTCATCAACAACAACTTTATTATTTATACCCCACTCATCTGGCTGGGTTCCGCAGCCACTCGAACCCATGGCCCTGAGATTAAGAGTCTCATGCCTTAAGATCAAAAAGACCCCCTATCCCTGGGGTATCAGGAGGGTCTCTCTCCTTTCCCGAGGGACCTAAGAGACTACATAAAATCTCATTGGATGTACATAGCAAGCATGAAGGTTCCGACAGATTGGAGTAGGCAGAAGCACAAAAGGAATATTTGCAAAATACTGCCCCCCAAGGGGGGAAATGGAAGGCAGATTTTCCAGGAAGGGGGACCCCACGCAGGAGAGGAACAATGTCCGGGAGGGATGAGGAGGAAGTGGGGCGCATCCAGGATGGAAGGGGCAGGAAGGTCCCCTTCCTTACTTCCTTCAAGGGGTGGTGGGAAAGGAAGGCAGACACCCCACCAAAAACACACTCAAAAAGTATCCCCGCCGCCCTACATGGGAGCCGGAATGACTCTCCGGAAAGTTGAACCACCAGGAAAGACTTTGCAGTGGAGAGGGGGAGGAGGAAGGAGGAGAGAAGGAAAAGATGTCTAACTTTTTGAATGTTTCCATTTTTGCCATTTTGAAACAAGGAAGAGTCACCATCGCGCGCGCGTGTGTGGTCCCCCCCCCCATTTTCATTCATTTTCTCTCCCCCCCCCGCGTTTATTTCCTTCGAAGACGGACGAGGGGAGGGGGTGGAGAAGCCCCGCAAAGAAGGACAAGCAGAGCAGGGAGGGGAAAGACCCAAGTGAAAGGGCGCTGGCGGCAGCAGCATGCCACTAGGTCCGGGGGCAGAAGCGGCTGGCTTCGGGGGCTTCTTCGCACGGGGAGCCCACCGAGTCCCAACGCCGGGAGAGGGCGCGGCTGTTTCTCGCGGGGGCTACTAAGTCCCGGAGCAGAGGCGAATGGGGGTGGGGGGCTTCTTCATACCACTAGCTCCCGGGGCAGAGCCAGCTGGGCGGGAGGCGGCTAAACCCCCGAATCAGTGCCAGTAGACCTGGGGCAGGGGCTCATCCCGGGATGCCACTAGGTCCCGGGGCAGGGAAAGGCGAAGCTTTTGAAGGCGCGGCTGCCCACTAAGTCCCGGGGCAGAGGCGGCCGAAGAGGGAGGGCTTCCACTAAGTCCCGGGCAGGGGCTCCCCACTAAGTCGCGGGCAGGGGCTGCCCACTAAGTCGCGGGGCAGGCAGGGGCTCCCACTAAGTCCCGGGGCAGGCAGGGGCTCCCACTAAGTCCCGGGGCAGGGGCTGCCCACTAAACCCCGGGGCAGGGGCTGCCTACTAAGTCCCGGGGCAGGCAGGGGCTGCCCACTAAGTCCCCGGGCAGGCAGGGGCTCCCACTAAGTCCCGGGGCAGGCAGGGGCTCCCACTAAGTCCCGGGGCAGGGAGGGGCTCCCACTAAGTCCCGGGGCAGGGGCTGCCCACTAAACCCCGGGGCAGGGGCGGGCAGGGGCTGCCTACTAAGTCCCGGGGCAGGCAGGGGCTCCCACTAAGTCCCGGGGCAGGGGCGGGCAGGGGCTGCCCACTAAGTCCCGGGGCAGGCAGGGGCTCCCACTAAGTCCCGGGGCAGGGGCGGGCAGGGGCTGCCCACTAAGTCCCGGGGCAGGCAGGGGCTCCCACTAAGTCCCGGGGCAGGCAGGGGCTCCCACTAAGTCCCGGGGCAGGGGCGGGCAGGGGCTGCCCACTAAGTCCCGGGGCAGGGGCGGGCAGGGGCTGCCCACTAAGTCCCGGGGCAGGGGCGGGCAGGGGCTGCCCACTAAGTCCCGGGGCAGAGCCAGCTGGGCGGGAGGCGGCTAAACCCCCGAATCAGTGCCAGTAGACCTGGGGCAGGGGCTCATCCCGGGATGCCACTAGGTCCCGGGGCAGGGAAAGGCGAGGCTTCTCAAGGCGCGGCTGCCACTAAGTCCCGGGGCAGAAGCGGCTGGGGGGGGGGAGAAGTGGGAGGCGCCCCTGAACCCCGGGTCACTTTCCCGCGGGGTGCAAATAGGTCCCGGGGCTTCCTCTGGAGAAGGCACCTCCGCCCAGCCCCTTGGGGAGCACCTACCTCCTCTTCCTCCTCCTCCCGGGTCTCTCCGGAGGCGCCGCCGCCGCTGCGCGAAATGGCCGGAGCCGGGGCTGGCGCTGCCGAGCGCCGAGAAGAGGATGAAGGGGTGCGCTTTAAAAGAGAGTGTGAGAGAGAGGGAGCCATCGATACCCTCGGCAGCTCGATTCGGCGGCCTGAGCAGGCAGAGCACGGGTGGGCGGGGCGAGGAGGAGGAGTGGGCGGGGCTGGAGAGGAGCCGCAGCCCGGGATTCTTGCTGCAAGATTCGCTTCTCCCTCGCGCAGCTGCAGCTGCCGCGCGCCGTGTAGATGCACAAGACCCGGTTATATAAAACGGCGGAGCTCTGCCAACCGTTTGCACGCTTCCTTGGGAGCAAAGCAAGCCTCCATTGCACGCACGGGGGTTTTGCATCCGACTAAGCGTGCGTTGCAAACCGGGCTTGCAGCAAGGAGGGATTGATATATATATATATTAAATATTTTTATTTTTTTACAGTAATTGATAGGCATGCTGCAGCAGTTTCCGCGCTGCCCTCCCAGTACCCGCTGAGCGCCGGGGCGGGGCGGAGGGGGTGGCTTGCTTCCAAGTAAACACGCACAGACGGTCGAGTTGGCACTTCTAAAATGCGTTTTTTTAAAAATAAAAATAAAAATGCAGCTGCTTTGAACTGGGCAGGTGATGGTTGTGGGGTTTTTGTTTTGTTTTTTTAGCGGTGGGTTATTAAAATGAAAAGAATCCCGACCTGTCATTATTAATAAAAGACGGTGGCAAAATAAATCACGGCGGATGAACGACGGCCTGAAGGCACCAAAAATCACCCGGGAAGCAGGTTATTGGGATTTTTAAAAAGACTGTAAAGTACGTTTGTCTATGGAAGGAGCATGCCGTGTTGGTGAATAAAGTGGCGATCTGTCAAGATGATGTAAATAACAAACAGTTACATTTAAATGCTGTGGAAACTATAAATGACGCGAAAACGTACCAGGAACAAGTCTCACGAGGTAAGGATGGTGCGTGTGTGGTTTTCCCCTCTTCCCTTTTGCCGAGAAATGTGACAGCCATGCAGAATTGAAACTGATCGTACGCGAGATCCATTTACATCACCCTGTAAAGCATTTCGGACCGCGGCACAGAACTCCGATAATTATCCTACAAAATCCGATGAACTAAAGGGATGCTGATCAAACAGAATATATACCATAAAACCAATAAGGCGATCCGGAACTGGATTTACAGATAGACGAATGAATTAACAACGTCAGTGTTTTATGCGTTACATAAATGATGAAGCATAATGCCACTTCTTAAAAAAAATACTCTGAATTAATACTTCTGGAATAACTACCACCACCCCTTGGTTTTAACAGCCAGTAGTCATTAATGTAGCATTAGGCCTTTCAAAAAACATTGGGGGGGGGCAGGATAATTATACAGTGGGGACCCCGTCCACTGCCCCCAAATATCCTCCCCCCTTTGTACACGGTCCCCCCTCCCCATACACACACAAACACATCCCTCTTACCCCTCTCTCTGTCTCCAGCCCTTCCTGCTTTTGCTGTTTCCAGGACGTACATACAATTCAACTTCTCTGCCCAAGGCAGGTTCCAAAATAACAGGCACCTACTCTGTTATTGGCTGGTGAGGAGGAAGAAGGGCGTGTTACAAAATTTTTATCTGTGTGTACCTATGTATGCGGTGCAGTCAGCTGTGTTGTGTGTGTGTGTGTGTGTGAGTGTGTGTTTGTGTATTAGGCTGTAAAGGGTTGCAAAGGTGTTTCGTAAGTGCAGCCTATCTATTTAGCTAGCTGGCTGCCTGCAGCAAAGTCGCATGCCTTGGAAAATTGCACCACATCCCAGGGCTTTACCTGCCAAGCCTTACTGATTTGTCTTGGTGTTCATAACAAATGGTGCATCCTAATGCTCTCTTTATTTTCTTTTTGAAAGCAGCAAATGGGTTTGGGGTGGAGAGCCCCGATTGGAACGGCAGCCCCTCGCTCTAATCAAAATGTCTTGGAAGTAAGCCCCATTGGGTTTGGTTTACTTCAAAGTAGGGATGTGTAAGATTGCCTGAAGGGTACAGAGAGAGGGATTTCCAGCATTGCAATCTAGCAATTGTGCCTCTCAAGATCTGTTTGTTGTTTTTCCCCCCTCCTGTTTCAGCAATTGGGGTTTGTGGGGGGAGGAGATGGAATTTAGCCAGTGGTGATTTCTTGAGAATTCTCCCATAATTTTCAGAGTTACACCCGCAATCCCGGCTCTTCAATGTCATTCCCAGAGTAACTTGCAAAATGTAAAAAGCACAACGAAATGACGTTTGTAAATTAAAGATGAATCACCGTTTTTATTGTATATAGATCACCCACCTGAACCCCAAATGGCTAATGAATTTAATAAATAAGTTGCAAATATTAGCAGTGATTCCTGCATTGCAGCGGGTTAGTCTAGATGGTCCTTGGGGTCCCCCTTCCACCTCTACAATTCTATGTCCTGAATACAATGTGCGTTCTCTCCCTCCCTTCAATTTCCTCCATCCCTCTGCCCTCCCTCTTGGGATTGCGGGATTGCAAGTGCCTTGGGGCAGGGACCTGTCTTTTTGATGCTGCTCTGTGGAGCAGCGTTTAATTTAAATGCGTAATTCCTTCTAATAGCAAACGCAGACTGCGAGTGCTGGCAGAGTTGCAGCCAAAATGGGGTCACTGAGAATCAAGAGGGAGGTATTTACATGGTTGGAGGAGGAGAGGTTGCAGAAACAGCTGTGGGGGGGACTTTTCCCATCCTAATCCCCTGGGAAACTCCGTAAACCTGCTGTACCTAGAACTGGGTGAGAAAAGGGCAGCTGAATGGGTAGCAGCTGTGAGCAGCCCGAGGAAGTACCATATACCAGGCTTCCTCAAACTCAGCCCTCCTGATGTTTTTGGCCTACAACTCCCATGATCCCTAGATAGCAGGACCAGTGGTCAGGGATGATGGGAATTGGAGTCTCAAAACATCTGGAGGGCCGAATTTGAGGAAGCTTGCCGTATACCTTGGGCCCTGCCCATAAAAAAATAAAGTCTAGAATGAGAGACTAGTGTGATGTCTGCCATTTCCAGGAGTTCTTCTCATTGTGGGACTCCTGTGGGTTAGCTGAGAGGGTTTGGGGACCCTAGGTGAAAACTTGGAAGCTGAGAGAAAGGATGTTTCAGGTGGAAAATGAACTGATATATATATATATATATATATATATATATATATATATATATACCGTATTTTTTGCTCTATAAGACTCACTTTTTTCCTTCTAAAAAGTAAGGGGAAATGTGTGTGCGTCTTATGGAGCGAATGCAGGCTGCGCAGCTATCCCAGAAGCCAGAACAGCAAGAGGGATTGCTGCTTTCACTGCATAGCGATCCTTCTTGTTGTTCTGGCTTCTGAGATTCAGAATATTTTTCTTCTTGTTTTCCTCCTCCAAAAACTAGGTGCGTCTTGTGATCTGGTGCGTCTTATAGAGCGGAAAATACGGTATATATATATATATATATATATACCTGTAACTTTGTATTAATGCAACATTTTTATATGTAATGGTGTGTTTTTGTAATGTTTTGTTTAAACTGCCGTTGCTTTCGGGGTTTTTATACGCTGCTTACAGATATTGTTAATATATTAAGCGGTACAGAAATTAAATAACCAACCAACCAACCAACCTGGAAAACTTTAAAAATGGGGAAAAAATGTGGGCCTCTTTCTCCTCCAGAAAAGGAGAGAGAGAAAAACCAGCCTAAAATCACATCCACACCAAACATTTAAAGCACTCTTATACCACTTTGAACCGGCAAAGAATCCTGGGAACTGTAGTTTAAGCGTGCCAAGTGTTCTTAGGAGACCCCTCGCAGAGCTACAATTCCCAAACAAAGGTTGAAGCGTGGGATGTTAAGTGTCAACGGGAAAAATAAAGTGGAAAACTTAGGAAAGGGTGCAGGGAGTAAACTGGACAGCTACAGCCCCTTACAGCCTTTTATCGCAGCCTTTTTGCCAGGCTGGTGCTTTACAGATGTTTTGAACTACAACTCCCACCAGCCCCTTTTTGCCAGTGTGGCAAAAGGTCTGGCCTGTTGTGTCCTGGAAGAAGGCGCAGCTGGCACACTGGAAAGGAGCACTCTTGTTAGGAGGTGAATCACCGACTTGTAGCATTGGAAGGGTCCCTGTGGCCATCTAGTCCAACCCCTGCAAATGCAGGAAAGAGCCCACTTGTATTCCCTTGATTCTACTATTTTCCAGATTACCACTAACGTCCTCCATGCTCTTCTTTGGCAACGAGATGCTTGTAACTTCCCAAAGCTCAATTCTTCAGGGAGTGTTTACAGGGCGGCAGGCCTTGCGGTGGCAATTTGTCCATATGTCACAAATGCTCAGTGGAACTATTGTGAAGGTCGGTGCGCACGCAAGTCTTCTTTTTCCATGGATGGCTAGCAAACCAGCATGCCACAGCACAATGTCAAAAACTCCCTGACGTCAAAGAAGCCAGGAGAATCGGGGCAGACTGTTTTGATTTTGTCTTTTCCCCCCATAGTAAATTACCTCTGTAAGGTAGTCCTGAATTGGGAAGAGCAGAAAGCCTTTTCTTTTTTTCTTTTCTTTTTTATATAACTTTTTATTTTCAATGCAAAATTAAAACAAAAATTACAAACATTGAATCCAAAATAAAACTATACAAACAAGAAAAAAACACAAAAGAAAAGAAACAAAAAAACCCACACATCTACAAATAAAAACCATATCTTCATTCTAATCTAGTCATTACATACATATGTACATATTGACTTCCTTCCTTTGTTCTAAGACCTCGAAATTTTTACTCTTACTAAGTTGTTGTGTCTAATGTAGATTACTTCTATCTTTATACTTTCAGATAGCCTTTTCTTTAGGGATTCCCGGTCTGATCCTGGCATCCTCACCTTAAGTTGGTCATTAAAGTCAGAGGAAAAAAATTCTCATACTGAGCACTTAACTCTGCAACTTTCCCAATCGAGTTCAATGGCAAATATAAACACATAACAGGGCATTTTGGAGCTTTAGCTCATGTTGTATCCATGCCTCCTGAACTCGTGTTGGATCTTGAGCAAGCTTTGAAGTTATAAACCAGGGCAGTGAACCAGCAACCCGCAGGCTATTTGGACCAGCCTACCAGCATCTCCTGGGCTCAGCCCAATATTACACCATACTACTGGCATACAGTCTGTGGGTGCGTGAGAGAGAGATTGTGTGTGCGATTATATGTGTCTGTTAAGGGTATGCAACTGAACTGGCCTGGCCACTTTTGGAATGCGGCCCCTGACAGCTTTGCACAAGGGTAATGTGGCCCCTCTGCCCCCAAAAATATCCCCTACACCCAGGGCTTTGCTTGAGATTTGGGAACCTGGGGGTTCCTAGGGTATAAAAACGAATCGAGGGAACACTCACTCTGTGATTTCGCACACTTAAATGTTGAAACTTTGGACTGGCAAGATTTCCTTTGATCTGCAGCTGTTCTTACCCTGTGAATATTGATGAAAAATCCTCATCTTTAAGATCCCGGTTTTTACTGCAACAGACTAACAGAACTACTCCTGTAGACTACAAATTACATACAGTTTCATTTTGCTTTGTATTCTGAAATTTTCCCTCACCTTATCCCTTTCTCTCTTTCTTTCTTTCTTTCTTTCTTTCTTTCTTTCTTTCTTTCTTTCTTTCTCTCTTTCTCTCTCTCTTTCTTTGTTTCTTTCCTTCCTTCCTTCCTTCCTTATTACCACCCCCCAAACATGAGTATGTGCACAGGTACTTAAAGACTGTGTCTGATTCATGTTTGTATGCATGTAAATAAAATGTCTCAGTGAACAACAAAATCCTAAATATGGATGCTCCTTGGTTTAGGATATAAAACAGGAAGAGGGAACCTAGGAACATAGAAAGCTGCCTTATACTGAAAGCTGTATCTAGAGAAAGCTGCATAATCAGAAAATGTCGATGCTATTTAGGGCAAAGCAGAACTCACATAAGCCTGGTCTTAATAAGCGATGGAAAGACGCTCAGGCCTTTACAGAATGCTTTACAGAATCCCCACCTCATTGGAAGAAATGATGAGGGAGAAAGGCACAGGATTCCACATGATGACGCCTTTGGCCTCTTTCCCATAGTTGCAGGAGCAAGATAAGGCTCCGCTTGCTACACACCTGGAGCCAAACTAAAGGTGACACTCTAGCAGAGGCAAGACAGTCACCTCTTGGGAATGCATTAGCTGTGAGATTCCTGCATCCAAATGTGTTTCGATACACATTACTACTCTCTGATTAGCAGATATAGGAATGTAGGAAGCTCATACCCTCCAACATTTCTCTGATGAAAATAAGGACGTCCTATATTATATTATTATTATTATTATTATTATTATTATTCCCTGCCCATCTGACTCTGGATGGCATCCAACATATATAAAAATCTAATAAAACATTAAACATTAAAAAACTTCCCTGTACAGGCTGCATTCAGATGGCTCGGGAGGTCAGATAACTCCATACCCTCCAACATTTCTTGGTTGAAGATAGGAACATCCTGAGGAAAAGCAGGCCAGTCAGGAATCAAACC